AACTAGGGTTTCTTATATAAAGACTTAAAAAAAGAAAGAAAAGGAAAACATAACAAGAAGATGACTAGGTATTTTCTTTTTCTCCCAAAATTATTTTTAAGGATTATTATTTAGTGCTTTTAACACATTTTTTATTATCACACAATAATCATTTATTCACATGACAAGGATGTGAGCTGGAAAGGTTAATATGTGGAACAGGTTTTGAAAGAATACAGAGTCCTAAGCCTTCATTAGATGCTAGAAGGGGGCTGAATGCTCATTTTATACGTAGTAGGTGACAAGTAGTCAAATAGAATCACAATCAGGCACTATGCCCAATGAGACCATGAGAGTTAGGAAATAAAAATATTCAGTCTGGAAAAAATGCAAATCAAACATCTCAGATGAAAATGCTCTTTCCTAAAAATTAATTTTTAAAGGAGGATATTTCTTGTAGAAATATGGAACCAAAAGAAAGGAAGCCATCTCTTCATGGCGATTTGTTGATTGCAAAATGCGAAGTACGTTTTCTGTTTAATTTGATGGGGGAGCCAGTGTTCCAGCCTGGTTTGGGATTTAACATGGTCCCAATTTATGAGGTATCAGATTCATTGAAAGGCTTGAAGGAAAAGGAGTATCTGGTTCAAAGATAATGTTATGCTATGAGCTACTGTGGTCTCATGTCGTCTCTTTGGTTATCATTGAAATTCTAAAAGAAAGAGGTAGTAAAATTTTTTAAAATTGTAACATCTACACCCAGAAAACTTCAGAAATGCTCACTTTGGGAAGGAGAAAAAAGATTCACACCTCGGAATATAATTTTACCATAGCTGGGAATATTCTGAGTATTGTTTTCTGAGGTCATTTCACTCATTAGGGAAAAAAAAATAGGTCTTCTGATCCTTTAGGGTATCAACTGTCAAAGCAAAACTTTATACAGAATACAGAAAAATGTGTTTTTTTATAAATCTGGGAAAGGGATCATACTGAATAATTATCTAAGTTATCCTCCTCACCACTAAATCTTTTCCAAAGTTCCTAAGTTTCTACTTGAAGAGATGTGCTTCAACTCCTTTTTATGCTGACTTCTGGTCTCAACACAGTCTAAGGAGTTGAAGAAAAATGCAAGAAAAAGTAAGCAAAGGGACTAGCTGATGCTTAAGCTGAAAAATCCAAAGGCCCAAACAGTCTATACTTACTGTATTAGGTAGTATAACGTGTAATAACAATGTCTTAGCAAAAAGAACAAGGTTTAATTAGAAGACCTTAGGAAGGGGGCACCTGGGTGGCTCAGTAGGTTAAAGCCTCTGCCTTCAGCTCAGGTCATGATCCCAGGGTCCTGGGATAGAGCCCCGCATTGAGCTGTCTGCTCAGTGGGGAGCCTGCTTCCCTTCCTCTCTCTCTGCCTGCCTCTCTGCCTACTTGTGATCTCTGTCTGTCGAATAAATAAATAAAAATCTTAAAAAAAAAAAAAAAGAAGAAGACCTTAGGAAGTTTTACTTTATAAAGTTCCAATAGATTTCAAAATTATTTTTAAAAGTATAGCAATAGGAAGCTTCAACAATCACTCTGGCAAATCACTTTGGTTCAACTCGAATATCCCCTAAACTATAATTTATTATTTAACTGGGAATACAAGAAAATGTTTGTTTCATGGTGATTTTATTGAAATAATTAGAAGAGATCGATTGTTCAAAATGAAAATAAATCCAGAAATTTGCTTGCAATCTCATATTTGAAAATAAGTACAGATTCTGTGCCAACACATGAAAGGAAAATTTACCATTTTCATTTAAAAAAAATATTCTGTGGGGAAAGGAGAGTGATGCTTGGGAAACGTGATGTCTCCGGGTAATTTTTCAAAATAAAATGTTTTTGTTCAAAGATTTTAAGATAGAAAAAATAAGCCAACTAATTCTGAAGAAATCAGGTTTAAGTTAATACAGTTTTTAATTAATTTATCAAAATTCATTCTGTGAAATCAGCAGCATAGATCAAACCAGTGATAGGTTAAATGCCCACAATGTATCAGACCAGCAATTTTAATATTCTAACAATTTTATGAGACTTAGATAAATGTTCTGTTCAGATAAAAGGAATTATAACTGACCAAACCACTGTGGTTGCCTACTTTTAGCCCAATTTCTTGTGGGGCGGCAGAGGAAAAAGTACCTAGCTGTCTTAACTATTGAAGACAACACAGTTTACAAAGTAACATTGTGCTTTGGTTTCCAGTAAGTTCCCTAGTGATTCTCTCCATTACTCTTACTTGAAAAATCTGCAACAGGACTGCTTGAAGGAAGAAACAAAAGCATGACTACCTATTTGTCTCCAGGACCCTGAGTGGGTGATGAGTGGTAGAGATTGTGTCACCAAAATCCATATTTTCCCTCTACCTTTTGAGATGAAGTATTACCATCTATCAACACAGTTAATCCTTTTTGATCTTCCTTTTAATTCTAGTTTTCACTGAGTCAGCTTCTTTTGGGGTGGTGGATCTGGGGCCCTTTGTTGTCATATGGGTTAGCCGATAGGAGAGAATGTGGCTTCTCAATCCCCAAAGCAATGGGCTGTGCCCCACAGGAGGGGAGAGGAAAGCTCTGCTCCGCTGTCTGGGGACCAGAGCCTCTATCACTGGACAGTGGAGTGCGGCAGTCTTGCTCTGTGCCCACATACATCTGAGGTTCATTTCTCCATGATGTCCATTGCACTGAGCCTATATGAAAGGAAAAAGAAACCTGAGGATTCACATCATTCACAACGTCCGGCAAGAGACACACAAATAACAGTGACTGGAGGGTAGGCCCAAAAGATGAGAGAGACACAGAATCAACCCATTCTCAGACTATGTGGACCCAATTTCTAAAAAATTCGTATTGGTTGCATGAGATGATTCAAAGGCAATGCTACCTGACATTCCTCTTTGACTTTCTCTGTGTACTTCTCTCCCCTTCTGGGAGCCTTGGGAACAGAGCTCAGGTTTCCAATGCATTTGCCTGCCTAGCCCCTCGCGTGGTCCTCTGCCCGAAACATGCTGCTAACTTAACCTGCACCAGCTCCTGTTGGCTGAAGTCAATGAATATGGTTCCATGGATCCACCACTAACACAGCCTGTGTTTTAATGGGTTTTCCAGGAGCAGGGAAGGACTCGGCTCAGAGCCAATCTCGATCTTTTATCTCATTTTCCTTTCTCTTTCCCTACTTTGGATCTCTCACCTCATGCATTTTATGAGACAGCTGGCCATGATTGGGCTGTGATCACTCAAATTGGGAGACAGTTTTATGAATGGCTCACAGAGAGTGAGTCAAACTGTAGTAGAGTGAGCAAAAAGGGAGATATTCTAATCTTTTCCTGTGTACTCAGCTAACCAAGTCCTTAGTTATTTTCTGAGTTTATTTTCTGGTCCAATCATTGTGCTGCTGGTTAACTGGAAAAATTATATGTACCTCTATACTGAATTACTTTTGTAATAAAGAATTAGGTGCTTTTAGCTCTTCAAGAAAAATATGTAACTGTAAGATATTCATTCTATTACTTTCTAATAATGTTAGTATTAACAACAAAACCCAAGCAACTTTTGAAAATGCCAAATGTTTTTGTTATGCAGGTAACAACACTGGTAACAGTTTACATATAAAACTTTATCAATTCTTAAGTGTACCCTAATATCCAAGGCCTTCATCAAGGAAAAAAAGTTCTACTGAATTTGGGTTACATGGCAATATACATAGGAGACAGATGTGAATGAGTTTTTCAAAACTAGAATCCTACATTCTCTCTGTAAGGAAATCTGAAGAGGAGAGTAGGGTAACAAGCATATATTTTTTAAGGATTTTATTTATTTATTTGACAGAGACACAGCGAGAGAGGGAACACAAGCAGGGGGAGTGGAAGGGGGAGAAGCAGGCTTCCTGCAGAGCTTGGAGCCCAATGTGGGGCTCAATCCTAGGATCCCAGGATCATGACCTGAGCCGAAGGCAGATGCTTAACAGTCTGAGCCACCCAGGTGCCCCAGTAACAAGCATATTCACAAAAGACAAACATCAGAGAGCTGAAGCCCCTCTCAGCAGAGAAACTGGTGTTTTGTTTTGCTTTGTTTTGTTTTTAAGATTTTATTTATTTGTCACAGAGAGAGGGAGACAGAGAGGGAACATAAGCAGGGGGAGAGGCAGGTTCCTTGCTCAGCCAGGAGCCCAATGCAGGACTCGATCCCAGGACCCTGGGACCATGACCTGAGCCAAAGGCAGTTGCTTAATCGACAGAGCCAGCCAGGCATCCAGAGAAACCGTGTTTTGTGGGTTCAATGTTTCTTCGAAACTTTCTAACAGCTTATAATTCAAAACGTGTTCAACTTTGTCCTCTGAGTTATGAAATAAAACTGACATCTGAGCCCCATGCCCAAGATGTTTATCATCATCGTGCAACTCTTGGCAAAAGTATTATGTTGAAAAGTATCTAATTCCAATTCCACCTGAGGCAGATTGAGTCCCAGAGCAGCCTGAGAACCCGGGATGATTTTATGGACCCTCTCCCAGTAGCCTGCATGGACTTCACAGATGACTCAGGCATCTGGCTGAGGGCTGGCCCTTGATAAGATGTGAAAACTCCCAAATCCCCAGGAGGACCCCTAGATCAACTTAAATTCACAGGAACCTTCCTACTGGAACATGGAACACATTTTCTTAGAGCCATTTACAATTTCACCAGAACTATACCTACAGCTACCAATACAGATCCCAAAGACTGACCACAAAACCCCACCGAATTCAAAAGAAAGAGTCACTCATTGTGTGCTTGCCCAAAGTGATCTAGCAGACTGCTGTGCAACCAGAGTTTTGAGGAAACAAGGTCACTTCGTGCACAATAAGAATTCAATCCAAATGCATCTTTCCAAGGCTCTGAGGCATTTCAATACAGCCCAGCCACTCGCATAGCTCATACATAGTTTAACTATTGTGTTTGCACTTCTGTGAGACTTGGAAAAACATTCAGGATCCAGATAAAGACAGCCACTCACCTGGCTCCAGAGAGGAGAACTGGCTAACATCTGCTGCCTCACCGTCCTTGAGGGTCACGGGTTGACTTCCACTCCTGAGATTTTGGTGTTCCTTTATCACCACAAACTGCAGAGAACACAAGGGAGGGAAGGAGAGAGAGGACATTGCTATAATTCATCAATGATCTCAACATACATGGAACCAAAGTTTATAGCTTCATTATGTTCATTGTATGGAAGGTGAAAGCTGAAAGGAAGGCGCTGTCAAATTTCTCTCTCTTCCTAATGAAAGATTCTGTTTTCAATTAGGAGCCTTATGTCAATAAAGGCAAATGGGCACTATCAATACTTAACTGGAGAATCTATTCTAATTCTAGAATCCCAACTTTTGGGTCATGGATCCCAACAATAACACCATTCTACTTTAAGCATTCCAAGAATCCCTTAGATTCCCTAATTCTAAGCATTGCCCCAAGGCCAGACAAATAAGATCTCATATATGTATGTGCTCCAACTTTTCAAATATGTGTGTGTGTTTAGTTAATGAAGTTCATTTAAACATGCTACCAAGTTCTTGGTAATTTGGGGTTCTTAATGGGTAATAATAACTAATAGTAGAACTACTATTTGCAGGGATCCTCAAAATGCTTTTTCATAGTTGAACACCTTGGAAACAAGAATTCTAAAAGGCAGGCCCAGAAAGATTCAGCAATTCTCTTTGGTCAAAAAATTAATTATTTTTGTCCTTATTGTACTACCTGCGATTGTTTGGGCACTTGCAATGCAGGCTGACCAGAGTTCACTGGCTCTCATTCACACTAGATAGATTTGATATTAAAATAGACCAATAAAAAAAAATAGATCAATGCTATAAGTTAACTCATGCCCTTGGATAAAGAGTGCAATTTGCAAAGTCCTTCCTCACCAATCAGTAACCCAGCAGAGGGGCTGCCCCAAGATTTTAGCTGATCATGCTCTCTGCTGGTTCAGAGATGGCCCCTCCCCAGGAGGAGCCCATAACTCAGAAGTACAATAAGAAAAATGGAATAGAAAAAGAAAAAGAAAAAAAAACCTCCCTGCTCATATTTCTCTTTGAGAAAAGTATAGGAAGAATAACGACTGGAGTCAATTAGGAAGAGAAATGTTGGCGAATCCCATGAACATGTGTTTTCATTTTCGTATTTTCCACAATGCTAATTATCCTTCACTGCTTTCTCTCCCTTAGTGGCCTCCCTGCAGCAACATATTGCTAAATCAATACACAACCCACTGTTTCAGGGCACATACCCATTATTTCTGACTAAAGTCAAAATCCAGCCCTCTGCACTGCAAATTTTCCAGCCACATGTTTTTTTGCCAGAAGAACCGAGGTCCTAGAATCCTAGGCTGAGATGGGGAAGGCAGCTGATGGAACCAGATTTGGTTCTGCTGCTTCTCCTGCTGGTTCAGATGCTTGGCTGTCTCCCACTCCCACTGGTATCTGCAGCAGCAGCTGGTGTGGATGACAGTTACGGTGGACCGTTATGACGGCTAGGGGGACTGAGCTCAGCAGCCCGAGGCCTTCTGCCACAGCTCTGAGCCAACAAGCTGCTAATGACAGTGGCAACTGTTTTTGGTTTTTTAAAAACTAGATACAGATTGTTTCTCCCTTCTTTCCATGATTTCAATACCATGAATTAAACTTGCTACTCAAAATCTGAATGAAACACCCTATCGGCCGATAGGCGCAGTATAGGTCATGTAGAAGTCCACAGTCATGAGGGCTCAAAGAACTGAGAACATTCTTTAGGTAAGTCCATCCAGGAGCACACATTTAGGGAATCCAAAGATACAGAAGGGATCTCAGATGTCCTGTAATCCAAACCCCTCGGTGTCCTGAAGAAGAAACAGTGACTTGCTGAAGATCAAGATGGCCAATTAAGAGGAGGGTCAGGCTAGACTTCACATTTCTTATTTGATTTTTGTATTTTAAGTTTTTGTAGTTTAAGTTTCAGCCAGAAAACAAGTATACGTTGATGCCTACAAGAGGTGGGATCAGGGATGACCTGCTAGGCAGAAGCATGGCCCTGGGGCAGCTACTCTCTGGGAAAGCACAGTGAGTGCAGGCGGGGGTGGGGGAGGGGAAGTGGTGTGGGAAGGAGACAAACACTGCCTCTGTCCCTCCAAAACAGCTCCCTAAGAACCTTTTCCCTATTAGCCCACAGGTTTCAATCCCCATGGATCTGCCATATATTCCAGACTCTTGTGCAATACATGCTGCGCATAATACCAGCGGCATGCACTGAACCACTCAAGTTGTCCCTGACAGGTGTCTGGAAATGGAAATCCCAACAGTTTCAAGGGAGCTTAGCCTAGCTCGAGCTAGCCCTATTCGGTTTCAAGATCAGTTACTGAAGTGGGTAATTTATGAAGCATTTTAAACTTCCCAATCACTTTGCTTTTTGGCAAACATATAGGTTTGCCAGATAAAATACAAGACACCCAGTTAAATTTGAATTTAAATTTCAGCCTTCACTGAAAGTATGAATTTAACTAGGCATCCTGTATTTTTATTTGCTACATCTGGCAACTATTTGCTGCTGAAATTTAGACATTTAAAATGTATGTGAAGAAAAGAAATCTTAAGAAAATTAGAGCATCTACTGTATTTCAATAAAATAAATTAATGAACAAACAAACAGCTATAGGAGAAATCACAAGGGGAAGAAAAAGGAAAGAAAGAGCATAATCTTGGGCTTTTAAGTCATCCATTTGAAAGAGACTACCTAAAAATTGGGAAAGACTTTTCACATAACCCATAAAAATGGAAATTATAAGAAGAAACTACAGGATAGAAAAAAAATAATGAGAAAAAATGAACTGGTGTCCATATGAAGTCAATTTTTTGCTTCATGTACTTTGGTCACATTACCCAAGGCTGGGGACAGGAGGCCATCCTAGCCTGGCTGTCTGTAGGCCTGCTACTGCTACCTTCTCTGTTCGAGTCTTCATAAGGATTCTTTAAATTTTTTGATGACAGCTTCTTAGTCCTGCAATAAAGCCAAAATGTGAGACAATTTCAAAACAAAACACAACCAGTAGCCCACTCAGTGATGGTCAAGGACAACTGCTTTTGCTACTGAAATGTAGGTACTTAAAATGCTTGAGAGAGAAATATCAAGAAAACTAGGAGCACAACTTTGGGTTTTCTAAGCATTCTTTTCTGCAGAACTTGCCAGATACTTCACTTTTTCCAAGGTTCTGTGAGATGCCTGGGCTCCTCCCACTAATTTGGTGCCCTCTCCTACTCAAACGCATCAGACACAAGAACACACAGAGAGGAGGACCCAAGAGAATACTATCTCATGTTGCCAAGCTAGGAAGTAGAATAGGTCTCTTGCCTCCAAATATAGCTTTATAAATACTTATTTGTTTGACAAACACGAAGCACAAAGTCTATAGAGGTTATGGTGTCATGCATTGAGGGAAAGGGGAGTAAAGGGAGGGAGATGTAATATGAAGCCGGGGTCCCTGTCCCCAGAGCTGTAGTCTCTAGAGGGAGAGGCGGGTACATAATGTATTGAACAGCCAATTAACGGAAGGCAATGAAGTAAATACGGTGGTGAAGACCACTAGCCAGCCTCAAGATTTCTAAAACAGTGCGGCTATCTTGGGCAAGTAGTAGCTAAGTCAGTGCGGATATGTTGGGCAGGTGACAGCTAAGGGAATGTGACTCTCTGACATATAGGCCTGCCAGGACATCTGACCAACGGTAGTAAGGAAGGTAAGCACTGCTACGAAAACCATTCTAAGGAACTGTGATTTCTTTGCAATGGGTGCTGAGAGAGTATGTGTTGTTACTGTTCTTAACCAAAGGCATCGGGGAAAATATTCAATCAAGTGGCTAATAAAAACAGTTCCAAGTTGCAAAATAACAAAGTTATAGTTTGTGACAGAACACTTCCCGTGGATTTTCTTACAATTGGGTCCTTCCAAGAAATCAAACTCTTTGAAGTAATAATATTATAACATTTTAAAAATTACTTCATTACACAATCTTGAAAGATAAACAAGACAAAGAGTGTCAAATGCTCAGTCTGGCCAAGACAGGCAAGGAGTGCTACAAAAGGAGGAAATAACTGATTCAAACTTTTTAAAGAAAATCGTTCAACACACCTAACAACACTCAAGGCTAGAGCTATATTTATTGGTATACTTTAGTGACACGGCAATATTTAAACTAGCTATTTTAATTTGATCTTCTCAGAATGAACACATAAAAGTGCTTGAATGCAGTCAAACACATAGCTGAAAATTTGCAGGGGGATAAGCAGGAAAGAGTGCTGATGAGTTTTTTGTTTGTTTTTTGTGTTTTGCTTTTTTTTTTTTTTGAAGAAATAGTTCTTATCACTTTTGATTTTAGACATATAAGGATCAGAAGCTAAACTTGTTCTGATTTGTATATAAAGTCTACACTAACCCACTAAGCTGGTCTTTGAATTCCAAGTCCAAAAAGACAGCAAACTGACAAGAGCTTTCAATCCAGAGCTCTGAAGAACAGCAACCGAACATAAAATTTATTTACTATGTAATAACCCACAGAATAAGAAAAAGTACTTAATAATTATGGTATACATGAACTTGACTTTCTTGCTTCCATTTTTTCTATACTATTTGCCAAGTATCTACTTTTCTTTTGGCATTTTGTTCAATGGGATAAATCTTGGTTACTTAATATTCTTCCTACAAATCCAATACCGGGCTAAAAAGTGAAATGGTTACTGTTGGACCTCTGAATTTAAAATCTCAAGTTTGTGCTTGAGAACCTTGACTCTCAAGGTGTAAAATGGTTCAGAACATGTCAGTCTTGGAGGGAAACATGACCGCTCATAGAAAGTCATCATCATGATAACACAATGTTCATTAAGTCCCATTTGCCAGTTATACGCTGAACTCTTTACTTAAATTAACTCAATTAGTTTTACAGTAAGTCGAGGTAAGTACAGTTTTTTGTTCCCGTTTTATAGCAAAGGAAATTAATGAATACAAAGTTAAATAACACGCCTGGTGTTACTTAAGAATGATTGGGACTTGTCCCTGTGTGGTCTGATTCTAGAGCTCATGCTCTTAACCACAATGCTAGGATATAGCAGGATCTCAGAGAAGCACATCTTGGATCAAATGCTGAAATTCTCCATAATACATGCCATTTGCCACCTGAGTGGTTGGGTAGCCCTGGCAAATGTGGTTGATTTTCATCTGCAGATGGTGGTATAGGTCTTCCCTACAATTCCAGAGAATTAGTGCCATAGGTTAAGTGGGTCATAGGTTCTTCAAGATTAAAATGATGAGACTGAATTAGGTAATTCTACAAAGTTCCCCTCTGCCCAAACGTGTTATGACTCAATAATTTTGTACAGCACAAACTCTAACAGCACGTACAACGATAGGAAAAGATGAAGATGAAGTTCTTTGTAAGAAAATGGAAAATGATCCCTTCACCTTCATGTAGTATTATCTTTTAATTAAATGTATAAATTTTTTGCTCCATGGTTTTTAACTTTTACCTTGAAATTACTGAAAACACAAACCCCAAGTGAGAGAAAGTAATGATTCTTTGAACAGGAGTTAATACTTCGTGGTAAATCAACTGAGTGGAAGGCGGCCACGCAAAATTACTTACCCAGCCTATGGGGGGAAGCAGGTGATGCATACGAGAAAAAAAGGTAGAATACAAAAATGCATTATGCTCAGTAACAACCCCATAGGGGTGCCTGAGTGGCTCAGTCAGTGTCTGCCTTCCGCTTGGGTCATGATCCCTGGGTCCTGGGATGGAGCCCTGCATCCGGCTCCCTGCTCAGCAGGAAGCCTGCTTCTCCCTCTCCCACCCCCTGCTTGTGTTCCCTCTCTCTCTGTCAAAAAATAAATAAATAAATAAAATCACTTTAAAAAGAAATAAAAAAATAAATGATGTAGATATACTGACAAAGACTGGACCCCAACAAGGAAAAGCAAAACCACTGAGGTTTCAGAGCAGTGAAATCCTTAGCCATTGCTTGTTTTCCTTCACTGTTATTCCCCCCTTTAAACAAATGTAGCAAGTGTGTAGAAGTTCATCTCAAGGAGGCAGGCGTTTCCTTGGGAGGTGGTAGAGAGAGGTTGAAAATGCCAAGGGAAAGACAAAGTCACCTGTAGCAGTGAGCCCCCCAGAGCCCCAGCAGCAGCAGCAGGACGAGCCCCACCACGCAGACAGCCACCACGGTGACTTGCCGCTGCCTCCCCTGGCCAGCGTGGCGCAGTTCCCATCTCAAGTCTCGGTGCTGACAGCGCTCCCCAACGTAGCCGAAGACACAGCTGTAACAACACACAAACAGAGGTCAGAGCTAAGCCCTGGCCAAAAACGCTTATGTATTTTCAGATTCCATATCCTGCTGTCTTTCAACCTCTGCATTTCCAAACTCAGCTCTTTGGAAGCATATGGAAAATCCATCAGGGGTCAGCTGAAAGCACTCTGATTTACAAATTAATGCAGCATGGACTTCCCCCTTTGGTCTGTTTGCCCTGGGATTGATGAGGAATTATTTGCATCCCGCCTTTATAAGGCATTGCAGAACATTGATTAAAGATCAGCTTCCGTTAGGCTAAAATCCTGAGGAGCTACCTTTAAGACCAACACAAAGCAACTCTGCCCTAAGAGCCAAGAGAGTTTTTGAGCAAATGTTTGGCCAGACTGCAGAGAGTATAGGTCAAAGGAAGGAGGAATTTGAAGGCAGAGTCCCTCACTTGAGACCAGACTTGTAAAGGAATATGCAGTCTCTGAACAGGAAGGACAGCCACGTCAGCCAAGGAAACCCTTTTCTTTAAAAAAAAAAAAAAAAAAAAAAAAAAAAAAAACACCACTGGCCCAAGGGAAAAGGTCTCAGTGGCGACCCATGAATGTTTGAATACTTCTTTCAAAGGAGAAAAAACTAAATGGGAGAAAAAGGGCTTTCATGGTGTTTCATGAGCAAAACCGTAACTAGCATCACCGGCCACCACCACGCGCTGTGACCGCATAGATAAAAGTAAATGAAACAATGCTGCCATCTACTGGGAACATATACTTCCAGAAATCATGGGAGCTCGGGTACAATTGTATTCTATTACTCTTCACAGGAGCATAAACTTCAAAAATACCCTCTTAAGTATTTTGAGCTCACTTGTTAGGAATTTCCTCCCAGCTCAGCCCTGGCTCGACTTCTATCCGCACCTCATTGCAAAAGGACCAGGAGGAATGAATGCCCAGGGAATGGATACAGGTCCCCACAGTGGAAAGAGACCGCAAGGGGAAAAGCATGAGATAAAGCTGCAGAAGATCTCAGTCCTAGTCCCAGTTCTACCTTGAGTTGGTCATAAGAGCACTGGAAAGTCACTTTAGGAGAGAAGAAGAAACTAGCGTTTGTTAAGCACTCTTTGTATCCAACTCTGTGTTAGGCATTTTTACCCATTTTCCTTTCAGTAGCAGATTCCCATTTTACAGATGAGAAAAGTAAGGCTCAAAGGAGTTAAGTAATTTCTACCCGGTCATACAGCTGATGAATGGCAACGATTTGGATGGTTGGTTCGTTGGTTGAATATAGCTGATACACAATGTTATATCCGTTTCAGGAGTACGATAGAACAGTGTGACAAGTTTATGCATTCTGCTCTGCTCACGACAAGTGTAGCTGCCATCTGTCCCCACATATCACTACTACAGTATCACTGACGCTACCCCTTATGCTATGCCTTTTATTCCTGTGACTTATTCATTCCATAACTAAAAGACTGTATCTTCTACTCCCATTCACCCATTCCACCCACCCTCCTTCCCACCCATCAGTTTGTTTTCTGTATTTACAGGTCTGATTCTGCCTCTTTTTTGTTTATTCATTTTTTAAGATTCCATATAGGAGTGAAATTATATGGTATTTGTCCATCTCAGTCTGACTTATTTCACTTAGCATAATACATTCTAGGTCCATCCATGCTGTCTCAAATGGCACATCTCATCCTTTTTTTTTGTAGCTGCACAATATTTCATCACACACACACACACACACACACACACACACACGTCTTCCTTATCAATTCACATATCAATGGACACTTCAGTTATTTCTATACTGAGGCTATTGTAAATAATTCTGCAATAAACACAGAGGTGTACCTATCTTTTTGAATTAGTGTTTTCCTTTTCTTTGGGTAAATACCCAATAGAATTACTGAATTATATGGTATTTATATTTTTAATTTTTTGAGGAAATTCCATACAGTTTTCCACGGTGGCTATACCAATTTATCTTTCCACCAACAGTGTGTGAGGGCTCCTTTTTCTCCACATCCTTTCCAACACTTGCTATTTTTTGTCTTTTTGCTCTTAGCCAGTGAATGGCACGTTTGATCCAAATGGTTTTCTGGTTTCAAAGCCTGTGTTCTTTCTACTACATCGGGCTACTTCCAAAAAGGGTTTTAAGCTCTAAGCACCTCTGAGAAGCTATTCTTCTAGAACACATCATGAAAGAGATGACAGGATCTGAGTGTAGGAAGTATAAAAGGACCATCAAGTTATTCCAGGCTTTCCTGGATACTGTTTTAATTCTAGCTATCTTTGGTTATAGTCATTTATTATCAATGCCTAGCAGCCACTTGTAACCTGTTGGATATTAATCTCAGAGACTTTAGGGTCTCGAGGAATATGTCAGTCCCATGTGCAAGAGTCCTGGGGAGCAAAAGCAAGCTGTAGTATCAGGGTCTCTCTGAGCCATACATGGCCCAAACCAGTCGGCCAGCATTTCACATAGATGGGTCCTCCCTGCTAGTTCTTTGGGTTATCAACTACTTCGGTTAAACCAAGCAAAAGATTTCTGGGTTTATTTATTCCGATAAATTATTCAAATCTGAGTTTAGTTGGTCAAATAATTTCAAGAAATTCTGAAGGAAGGTCAACAAGACTTCACACTGCGGTGTGCTGTGATCAAGAACTGAGGGCTAGAGTATATAACATTTCTCAGACTGATTTGGCCACACAACTCTTTTCTCATGCAACCTTTCACAGCACTGGTGTTGGGGCTGCTTGGTCTCAAGAAGACCTGGCCAGAAGTGTGTGGGCTGGTTCAAAGCCAAACCAGAATGAATAAGGATCTCCTGTTAGCTCAGGAGGTTTGGTCTTCTGAGAATGTCAGGACCAGGGAACCTTTGAGGAAGATGTGGGGCATGGGGACTTCAGTTCTCACATTCTCTGCACCCCAGACAGCCAGGGGATCTCTGTATTGGGGGGCTTCCAATGCCTTCAAGCAAAGAAAGAAGAGCAGCCCTTTATAAACCTTCTCACAGTATTGAGAGCACTCTGCAGAATGATACCGATCAAGTGTTTCTAATAAAAGTTAGAGCTGGTGAGCATTCCTAGAGATGCGTCACGATAGAATTTTAAAAATACAAGGTGAAGTCATCAAGGCAAAAGGAGGAAAGTGTTGGATGTCTGATTAAACCACATTTTTATTAAATGTAAAATTCAAAAACAAAGTTACGACCTAGACTAATGGGACCTCTGATGATATTTTAAATATTGCTTTTTATTAAAGATCCTTAAATATGAGTGTTATCTCTAGTTTAATTGTCATTTTGTAGCAACTCATGTTTAAAACATTATCAGGGAATAAGATTTAATAACAGAAAGAAAAGCAGTGTACTAAAGAGTTCATAAATCATTTAATGAATCGATGTTATCAGGTCAAGTGAAAATAATCTACTAAATGCAATTTATAATAATTGTGAAGTACCCTTCACACTATTGTAATGTCTCTTATAATCTAAAGTTTAAGTATCATAGAGAAAAACCACAATCTAATAAAGTAGGACATTTATCTTCATAATTTCATTATTTTGGATAATAAGGAACCATGAACATGAAAAAAATTGATTCTTATTATCAAAATCAAGGACAACTAATGTGAAGATTGGATTTATCTTAGGGTGGGAAATTACAGCATGCAAATATGAACATGAGGGTAGAATTCTATGAGATTTAAGTCAGTTTCACTAACAGTCATGAGCATTTTTCATCACTTTTGTCTGGCTGACGTGATTTATAATGCAAGGCCATTCACTTTGTCACAGAATACAACTTGTTCTTCTAACAATTTAGACTATGTTTCTGCTGATTATTATTCATAAAATAATAAAAGCCTTTACGCTTATAGCTTCTATTCATGAGGATCAGAATATTTTATCACTTCTTCCTCAGGCAGAAGAAATTATCAGTCAGTCAGTAGTCTAGCCACAGAGGACGCATTTATTCTTCAGGACCTACCAGTTCCCTCTGATTGACTTGAAAATATGAAATCCACTAAAAGTAAAATTTGATGCAGAACTAGATATTGCTTCCAGGGAAGTGTTTTCTGAGTAAGGATGGTGGGAGGACCTACAATTTCAGGTCACCCTCAAATCTACTTTTCAGTTGATGGTGCCCACTGTGAAACTGTCATGGGGACAAAAAAGGAACAAACAGAAGCAGGGGCCACTTCCAGCAACAGAAGTGTAAACAGCAACTATTAGAAACTGAAGAAAAATAATTTTTTTCCAGTTTCGAAAGTTGAGGGTAACAAGTCCAACGTGTATATATAACCTTTTTGTAAATTCAGAAACATATTGTGGGTGTTGTCCACACATGCGGCAGGAAATAAATCCAAGTTTCAAGGAATTCTTTCACAAACCTAAGTTTTCAGCCAGAATGAGAGGTTTCAGCCCCAGACTGTACCAGTAGCAACACCAAGTTAAGTAAGAGGGAAAATCGCCAATTCTTTAAATGTTTATTTATATACGCAAGGAGGGTGCAGTATATAACACACACAATTTATATATGTGTGTTTAAATGTTTTTCCCTAGCAAAAACCCAATTATAGAAAAAATCTCCTTGATATGAATTTTATAAATTACCTAAAAGTTATGGACTTCAGTCCCATATCTCTGTGCTGTCACAAAGACAGCTTGACTTACTTGCATGCGTATGTGTCAACTGCTTCAATGTACATACACACACCGTTATGGAGGCAGTAGCCGTCATAGGATGAGGGGCATTCCCGGAAACCATTTCTCACAGAATGGTGGCCGTCCTCCATGAGATGAGAAGGGGGAGTAGAGTCTATAAGAATCAAAGACATTACTTTCACTTTCTGAAGCGATTAGGTCTTCCAGGGATCAATATTCAGAACTAGTCTCTGTGAACAATTTGTGATCTAGTGTCTTTTAGTGACAAGAACTCAGAAGCAACTCCAGTTTTTATTTTCCTAACCAGACTTCAACGTCATTCACCATGAAGCCAGCCATTCTTTCTTCAGCTTCAGTATTATCTGACAGAAAGCATATTGGAGGCAAGCGAGGAAACAGTCAATTCTAAATGACTACATGAATCCCAAGTCACTGGTCTTTTACCAGTGACCAGTCACTTACCCCCAGTATCCTGGAAGCCTCAAAAATTTCTCCCACACAATGCTTTCTTCTAAAAATGATGTAAATATCAGAGGAACCCTCAAAGACCAGACTGGTAAGTCTGACAGAATAAAAACTTTACCGTAACAGAGGGAATGTCAAAATCGCAAAGTCCCTTTTATTTATTTTATTTTTTTTAAAGATTTTATTTATTTATTTATTTGACAGACAGAGATCACAAATAGGCAGATCATCTGGCAGAGAGAGAGGGGGAAGCAGGCTCCCCGCTTAGCAGGGAGCCCAGTGTGGGACTCGATCCCAGTATCCTGAGACCATGACCCGAGCTGAAGGCAGAGGCTTAACCCACTGAGCCACCCAGGCATCCCGCGAAGTCCCTTTTATTGAATGGTTGTCTGCTCTTTAAAAGGAAATCATTAGAGTGTGTAGCTGACTATATAAATATTAGCAGTCTCTCAATACCTTTAAGAAGAGCAAATTATCTGAGAAAAATAATGTGTTAAAAAAAAGAGACCCAAGTAAGTCCTGAAATTTCCTTTCTTAAGATGTTTTGTGCTTGCAGAGCAAAGACAGGTAAATTGCTGGGAGTGGTGGTGAAAGAGACCCCGATCCTGGTTTCCAGGGTTGAGGTGAAGCCAGCTCCCCTTCTAGGGTACAGGTTGTGAGAAGATACTGCCATTTGGGGAGAGCCTCAAGAAAGCAGAAGTTGACCATTAACATTTAAAAAAAAAAAAAGAGCTCAAGTTCTAATTCAGATCAAGAAATACTAATGTTTTAAGGTAATATTTGAAAAGCTTTAAAAGTGATTCAAAATGCTAAGGGTCCAGACATCTTTCCTGACCTGACTTGACCTGCAAAGTTTTTCCAGCAGCCCCAGAAATCAGTATCACAAATTAAGACATTGGTCTCATAGTTAAAGAGAACCACCTGCATTCCCACCTTTTGAATTGTAAGTAATAAGAAAGGAATTTCTTCCAGATGTTATTAAATTAAGAAAACTTGGACTACTTCACACTCCCAAGCTCAGCATCCCCCTAATCAGGAACGTAAACTCACCAGCCTAGTTGAATCGAATAATTTCTAGACTCTTCAGAGCAAATACATTGGGGTATAGAATTTTCCAGAATTAAGTCCCTTCCTTGGCCCTGGACTACCCACCAACCTACCAGTGCATATCCGCCCAGGTTCAGACAGGCTGCCGGCACACATGCAGGTGTAGTTTCCCTCCGTATTTGTACAGGTGGCATTTTCCCCACAGGTGTGCCTGCCCAATTGGCATTCGTTAATATCTGCCAGAAACAAGGGAGTAGGGAAGAGAAAAGTGAGGTGCAGAGGAGGACAAAGGGTTATATTATTGGAAAAGCCAACATAGTGGGAAGGGAGCAGCTTCAACCTCTCCCTTGCTGCACACTCTCAGACCCTCTGTATTTTTTTATTAAAAAATTATATTATGAATGCTGGACACAAGGATGAAGTGGTCCCTCAGCTGCCTGCCCATTCAGGTGTTCTAAACTCCTGAAATAAGGCTGAATGTTTTCCCAGTGCTCGGGAGGAAAGGAGACATCCCAACATGCAGTTCAGTGGGAAGGTTGGAGATTGGTAAACCAGCTCTAGGCAAACATTTAGAAAATAAGATCCTGAAGATTCATTCTTAACTTTTGCCAATAGACATCCAGTCATTGATATACATTTAGAGCATTTCTGCTTTTTTTTCTGCACAAACATAAATTAAGTCAACCCTTTCTTTCCCAACTACTACTATTTTCTTTCTCAATTACCACCAGCCTAACATTTAAATCTTTCTTCTCCTCAATTTTACATTACCATAAGACAGCCTCCCCACATTCCCTGCATACCATCTCTCCTCCACTCCACTCCTAAACACGGGGACCAGATTAACATCCTAAAGCACATCTCCCATCACTGCACCCCTTGACTCAAACGCTCTCTTGCCCAGAGCTGAGCTGCCCAATATGGTAGCCATCACCGTCTGTATGTGCGTATGTGTGAGTGTGTGAGCACCTGAACTGCAACTGGTCTACAATGACGTATGCTGTAAGTGTAAAACACTTAGCAGATTTTGAAGACTTAGTACTAAAATAAGAAAGAATGTAAAATATGGTATAGTGCAAAAAAAGTGAATTTTAGATCACTGAAAAAAAATAAAATTTAAAAAAATATCTCAATGATTTTTATATTGGTTACATATTAAAATGTTAATATCGTGGATATGTTGGGCTTAATAAAATAAAAATTAATTTCACCTATTTCTTTGTACTTTTTGTAATGGAGTTATTTGAAAATTTAAAATTATATAGGTAACATATATTATAGTTCTATTAGATAGGGTTGGTCTAGAGAAATAAAACCCTAATGACCCTCAACTTCTAGTCTTCTACATATGTAATCCAACCCACCTGTTATGAACTGAATTGTATCTCCCCCCAAATCTCTAACCCCCAGTGTGACTATATTTAGAGATGGGGCCTTCAAGGAAGTAATTAAAGTTAAATGAGGTCATAAGAGTGAGGCCCTAATCCAATAGGATTGAAGTTCTTATAAGGAAAGGAAGAGACACCAGGTCCCCCATCCCCAAACCACAGCAGAAAGGCCGTCTAGTTCACATACACTATACTTAGTCATGTAGCTATTCTCTACACCCCAAATAGACCTGTCATATGTTCGTACCTGGAATGCTCCCCATTCCTTCTCATTTCTGCCTAATGAAAATTTCCTCACGCTCCAACGTCCATCCACGGTGATCCTTCCTTCATGAAGTTTTCTTAATACCTCAAACAGATATTCTTCCAGTTGGGAACTTTCACTGTAGTTTTTACTTCTCTCATAATGCATACCCCCCTTCACCACTTATCACAGCTCCCTGTCTCTCAGGTCCTGCTCTTCTCGCAAGCAAGCACTACCTTCATCATTCTGCTCTTCCTCACACTTCCGGGCACTATGTCTCTGCACTGATAGTTGCCAAATAAATATTTGTCACATTGGACTGCTATCCCAAATGACTCAAATTGAGTCTTTTTTTTCCCACTTACTTCCTACTATAATTTCTATGAAATCTCTATAATCTCTTTATTTCTGTAATCTCTCTTTCTCTATAATTTCTATAATCTCTGTGAACCTTGAGAGACAGAGCTTTTCCAAGAACTAAGAACACAGGTATACTCTTGGTCAAGAAGCAACTCCATTGCTAAGAATAAGAATAACTTATTTTTATGTGGCATTTATTATGTTCCAAGCACAACGTAAAGCACTATATCTACATATATCTGGAAGGAGGAAGGAAAGAAGGAAGGAGGGAGAGTGAGGCAGAGAGAGCAGGGGAGGAAGAGGGGAAGGAACACAGAGAGGGAGAAAGAGAGAGAGAAAGAGAGAACAGGAATCAGCCCATTCTTCCCTGTGGCCTGAGGACTCCTTGCCCCCAGGCAGGCTGCACCATGATACCCTGTTGCGCATTCACTGCTGGAAGGAAATAGGTTAGTAATACAGAATCTGGAGTTTAATGAGTTTAAACATCCAAAAGGCATACCTTCTTTCCTCTTCAAAGTAAATTAAATATAAAGCCTGTTTGTCTAAATTATCTATGAGCCTGATTAATTAGAGCAGTGGCATTTTCTTGACTGACAGCCAACTATGTGCTTAAAAGACTATTTACAAATGACTGTGGACTCCACAAAACTAATCTGATAAAGGTCTGATTTAAACCAGCCAGCTCCAAAAAAAAAAACTTGGTAGTCGTGACTGATGGTTCATATTTAACCTCAGCATGTGGGAGAAAGCAGTATCATTTCAGTTTCTTATCAGGTCATCTGCCCCTCACCGTGAAAAGATCTGCGTGTTTTCAGAAGGCAAAGAAAATACTGTTAGAGACATGTGAAAGCCCTGTTAAACTCCAGGTAAGCACTTCATGGGTTTAGGGTGGCTTCAGGCAGGTCCCTACCTGTGGGGCTCTGCTCTGTTCCTGACACCTGGCATGGTACGAGACAGCCATTAAGTGAGCTCCCAACCGAGAAGCTACACCCAGACCTTGGCAGAGAACAGTGATTATGAAAGACATCTTAATCACTCCTTCCTTGTATCAGAATGTCAGTGGCTTGCATCTCCCATCTACTGACACTCATCCAGAGCTGTCCCGTGAGCCCTTTCACAGAACCACTCCCCCCTTTCCTTTACGCCCAGAGCAGAGACTTCAACAAGCCTCCCTCAGCTCTGCAGTCCACCGCGGCTCACCTGCAAAATCCAGGGATAACGAAAATGCTGTACGAATTCCCGCCATGATGGCTCGAGGTGTGGAGTATTAATGGGCACTGGCGTCACTCAACTCCAGAGAAAGAATGAGAAAGGCAGAGGGACCCACAACCTCTGCAGCGTCTTGAAGCTGACTAGTCCCATCCTAGCACAAGCGCACAAACTTGACTGTTCATCCAGAATCGACCTATGTCTGTTTGAACAGCTTACGTAACTTCACTTTGAGCATTAACATGGGTGGCACTTATATTACACCCTGTCTTCTCTCAACCCACCACACCCACAACATTTCCCCATCCTCTGAAGCCTGCCTCTGGCCTCCTCCCTTGGCACACATGCTCTCTTACCAAGACAGTGAATCCCATCGCCTTGGTAGCCTTCTGAGCACCGGCAGACATAGCCACCTTCAGTATTGACGCACTGAGAGGAGGTGGGAGGGCAAACAGTGATGCCCGTCTCACATTCATCTATATCTGTGGGTAAAACGATTGACTAGTGAAATATGTAGACAATCCTGGCATTAAATGAGAATCATGGGAAAAACAGAAATATAAGCATTCACACAACCAATCACTCAACCACTTTCAGATACTGTTTGCAAATGTAATGCAAACTCTGTAGCTTGGTCTTAAAGTTCACGTCCAAACCAATTTTTACAGATTGTTTAGGTGTCTGCTTAGCTAAGTGTATGTAAATAAATCATATTGGGCCAGGGTTGCAGATGATAAAAACTGAGATTCTTACAGTAATCACTAACTTAAAATTTCAAGGCACTCAGTATAATATGGAAACCTATCCAGCACAACCAATTTATTCAACTTAAACTTAAGATCTCAGCTTTTAGGGGGAGAAATTTGTGTTCTTATTGTAACTGGTGAATTTATAAATTTGACTCAAGCTCAAATTCATGCTTCTAAAACTAATTATAAAATTTTCTCCTTAATATCAACTGCATATATCATGTAATTATAATATAACAACATACTATATGTTTCATATTTTCTAGATATGCTGTTCATTATCATTTTAGCTAATATCAACTAATTTATTCAATCCTGATGATTATGTAAATCCTCCGGAGATTTTGAATCAGTATTATCTGAAAGAATGTTTCTGGTTCCCTATGGTTTTCCAGATACATGTATTGGCCTTTGCTCTTACCAAAACATACTTTTCCATCCCCAGTAAATCCTGTCAAGCATTGACATGTAGCATTTTCTCCCTCGGAAACACACTGAGCCTGTGAACTGCATCCCACAGGACCACAGTCATCAGCGTCTGCAAAGAGCAAGAATCCCATCAGATTATTTGCAGGCCTTAGAGAAAAAATGGGCTTGAATGTTTTGGGTTCTACAGAACATTCTAGCACTTCCTTCCTGAGTTCTGGGACAGGTTAACCTCTAAAGAGAAACAATTAGTTGACCTCTAAACTATATCTATATTAAAGGGTCCATAAGCTATATGCTCCCATTTATATGCTTTCAGTAAATCTTAAAGATATTCAAAGAGCTTTGTGTGAACTTGTTTATAATTTTTTAAAAAGCATTTGCAAACTTGAACTATAAAATTTCTAGGAGTAAATAGGCTCAAATATCAAAAGTTTTATTGTTTGAGAATTCTCAACCATTAGGACATACAATAGGGGTCAATATATTCTTATGCCCCCAGAAGACACAGACTAATATTTAACAAGTAGATCTGGGTACCAAAATGGCAGAGATACAATAAATAAGAACTCATTGCAATCATACAAGATGCAATAAAAAGATTTATTGTCAATTTACTAAAATTATGTCTCATATATGAGAATATGTATGACACAATGTATGGTTATTGTCAAGATTTATGCAGTGACTTGCAAACCTCAAGGCACTTTTACAAAGTCATGAACCATATAAACTAAACGCTGTAAATGGATCGTTTCATTTCATACTCCATTGAAATGCAAATGCCCCAGGGGACAGAGCTGCATGTTGAGCCATAAACACGAGCAAGTTTTTTTTTTTTCTTTTGACTGCTTATGTATATAATCATTCTCCAAATGCCGCAGTTGGAGTTGGGGGGATCTGACCTACCACAGCAGGATATAAACTATCATCTCTCTATTCACTGGTAAGTTTGCTTACCTGAATACAGAAGAGGTAAAAGAAGTCCTCTAAACTTGCCCATAAATTAAAGAAAGTTAGATGATCACAGGAGGATTCAGGTCCCATGTAAATGCACACATTAGGTCACTGCATTTGATTTGCTTGGCTATTTGAGTGAGATTTCTCATGAGGAAACACATGCCCTTCATTCTTGCTTGGTCATCTCCTGTCACTCATGACTCTTCAAGATGGATAAGTTCAGACTAAATCAATTATCCATTTGATTTGGCATTTATTTGGAAGACTAGCTCTCAAGTCACTAGGCTGCTCAGTGTATGGTGGACAAGATCCAATTACCCAAGACATTTTAAATCACTTGCAAAATTGCCTTAAATTAGAATATAATTCAGGATTTATTTGGTAACTTGAAAACCCCAAGGCAGCTTTTGCATAATGAAAAGCACTGGATATGCTGTTGGGGGTTAGGGGATGGGCTAGAGCCAAAGTTCTTTTTGACACAAGCTGGCTCTGGAAGGAATAAGTGCCTGGGCTTCACATCCCTCTTCTGCAAAATACAGGTGACATTTTTTGTCCAGTCTACTTCAAATGATAATTGTAAGGACTGAGGAAAAAATTATTAAAAAAAAACTGAGAATAATAAATTTTATACATATGTAAATAAGGATGATAAAGAAGAAGAATATTATGACAGTCTGAATTAGAATTAGCCTTATGACATTAGAAAAAGAATCCAGGGCCTATTAGTTAAACTACTAAAATTAATTTTTTAAAAAGTACCTATCACACACCAGATCCTAATATGAGCCAAAAATACAGTGATGGAGAATACAGACAGGGCCTCTGCTGTCTTGTACGATTAGTTATTGAAGTACAGGTCTGGTACGCACTATCAACAAACAACACCAGGTTCTCATTTTTTGTTTTTTGTTTTTTAAAGATTTTATTTATTTATTTGACAGACAGAGATCACAAGTAGGCAGAGAGGCAGGCAGAGAGAGAGGAGGAAGCAGGCTCCCCGCTGAGCAGAGAGCCCGATGCAGGGCTCGATCCTAGGACCCTGGGATCATGATCTGAGCCGAAGGCAGAGGCCTTAAACCACTGAGCCACCCAAGCGCCCCACAACACCAGGTTCTAAGGGAGATGAAATAACTCTCATCTCACCCACTTAGGAGACTAGGAAAAGCTTTCCAAGTGGGATCTGAAGCTGAGATCTGAAGGATACATAGGACTTGGATGGGTGTAGAAAGAGTGCTGTGGGCTAGGAACACAGCATCTGTCTGTTACAGCCACGGCCCATGCAACTGAAGCCGGCCAGAGAAAGTCGACAACAAAAAGGCCCACACAAAGGGTGGTGAAGCATGTAAGGACTAGTTCAGCTAGCACCCAACAGGCCACGTTCAGAATTTTACATTATATTCATGAACTTAGAAAAACTAATTATTTTAGTAAACTTGACAAGGAAATCTTTTTATGATTGAATTTCTTTGCCTTGTTGTAGACAGATCTACTTGCTACATAGCAGTCTGTATGTCTTTGGGGAATAAGAATATATTGATCTTAACCTAAAATCTATTCTAGAGTTTTCAAACTCGTTTTTAGCATAGATACTTTGCTTAAATGAAGTCTCACTACAAAATACAAATATGACCCCTTAGCCTACTACCACTAGAACTAAAACTTTATAGACTAAGACAAAATAGGACACAATTCAGATATGGAAAGAGGAGGCAGTTCTCACAAAGGCAGTCATTTCCATCTATTTTGCACAAGATATAGTCTAGTCTCAGGTATGAAGCCAAATACAGCCTTTAATACAGTATGTGTTTTCCATACTCATCACTCCCCTATCCCACCCATGTGCCTAATTAACTATCTCTCATTACCTTGGTCTTTGAGTCTCCCAAACATTAGTCTTTCAAAACATGTTCTGTGAACATTTAGGGATTCTTAGCAACTTTGAAATGGTTCTCAATACTGTTAATATTTATTTATATTGTTTTATCCCATCATTTATTTTTCTCGACTTCAGACTATGACCTTGGAGAACAGGTCTGTATTTAGCTCATCATCGTATCCCTAGGGCTTAGCACAGCATGTAGCAAATAAATAATCATTAAATGAGTAATATCCCTAACGTGCTAGTGTTTTCTAGGCTTTTTCTTGACAGGAACTAATTATTTGGTCATAATTTTCAAAAATCTTTGGTAAAGTCATTACCTTAATATATCTTAGTCTCAGTTTTCAGATCTGTAAAGTGATGGGTTGTGGTCAGAATCAAATTAGAGGGGTGCCTGTGTGGTTCAGTCAATTAAGATTCTGACTCTTGATTTTGTCTCAGGTCATGATCTTGGGGTTGTGAGATCGGACTCTGTGCTCAGCAGGGAGTCTGCTTGAGATTCTCTCTCCTCTCCCTCTCCCTCTGCCACTCCCCAACCCCCTCTCAAATATATAAAGAAATCTTTTTTAAAAAAATTTATTTAGAGGGAAAGTACTTAGTAAACTCTAAAGCTCCATACAAATTGTAATTACCAAAAATATCCACCTCTGTGTATCTGTGTATTTTATCTTATTGATAAGTTTTTTGTTGTTGTTGTTTTGTTTTGTTTTTTTTGTTTGTTTGTTTTTTTGAGACAGAAGGTAGAGGACCAAGAGACAGGGAGAGAAAATCTTAAGCAGGCTCCACACCCAGTGGGAAGCCTGATGCAGGGCTCAACCTCACAACCCTGAGATCATGACCTTAGCTGAAATCAAGAGTTGGACACTTAACTGACTGAGCCACACAGGCACCCCTGTAATGATAAGTTCTTATAATAGGGAAAGGGAAGAGGTCTCCATGTCTCCTACACAGGCAAAGTAGTCTGTAGACCACAAAATTTGAATGAGTATTTTAAGTGTATCTAAGGTCTTAATGTGGAGCTTTCAAACTTATTTTTAGCCATAGATACTTTGTTAAGATAAAATCTTAGAAATATAAATCAATACAGTGTTTCAAAGGAGATCTGTGCTGATTACAGGTAGAGAGCTGTGAAGAAGGGGTGAGGCTTGCAGAGGTTCTAGGGCTGACTGAAGCCCAGTTTGAAAACCACTGACCTCATGAGTAAATATAGAGTATAAAAGAATTAGGCTCCCTGAAGTTGTTACATACTGAACAAATTATTTAGCATTCTGGTGATAAATGTGCAATATAGAACACGATTCTACTATTTGCTCTTTGTAAACTCTGGAGCAGCAGAAGCAACCAACCCATATTTGCTTATCAGTTACTATCTACTTTTCACACTAAGGGAAGTCTAGCTAGATGGGCTAAATACTAGGTATGGATGGGGACACACTTGAGTCTGTTCCATCTTATTTTTCACCTTTGTTTCCAAGTTAGATTTCTTCAAAGAAGTTTCAGCTCAAAGACTCTCAATGAGTAAATTCATGTCCAGTCTAACATGGTGCCATCTTCCTCAGGTACACGGTTCACAAAAAAAGGATCAAAGTTTGAGTCCAAAGTCTGGCTTGACTTGTTTTGTGAACGCTTAGCCAAAGTTAGAGAGCTAATTCAGGATTCTAACTAGTAGGCTGGACATTGTTGGAACCAAAGCTATGTTGGAGAATTCCTCATTCATACCTGATACCATGATCTCAGCCACTAGCAAACTCTGAGATTCTGTAATGCTCTCTTCAGATCCTCTATTCCTGGATGAGACATCCAATGGCATTCCTCGATCGGCTTCACTACCTAGTGAAGATCAAAAGATACAGTTAATGTACCTTTTATGATCAAGAAACTTGGACTTAATTTGTATCTATGGCTGTGTGCTGGTTGTTTGAGTTTAGACTTACTTGTACAGTAAGAACATTCAGGGAAACTAGCAGTGTTTTGGTGACTTAGAAAACTTTGCCTGCTACACCATACCCTCCCAGTTTCTCCCAGAGCACTTGATGGTTGAGGGTTGGGGGAGCCAGAGAGCAAAGAGACAGGACTCTTTTAGGTATCAGCAAATACAATAAGAGTAGAATACTAAAATCCTAACGGACATTATCAACTCACAATCACAACCCACCATCACTAAGGACAAATTAATATGATCTCCCCAACCTGCCTTCCATGTATACTCCTCCTTTAGGCTACTTTCAATACTTATTTTACCTATATTTAGAAATGTGTAAGGGTATAAACAAGTCATAATTTAACATAGGCATGGGACCTATGCAATTCCGTAGTACATAGGAAAAATGGATCTCCTAAAACACTAACTTCTCAAAGTGTGGTCTTTGGACCCCAGGTTCCCATTGCATGCACAGAGTCCATAAGGTCAAAACTATTTTCACAAAATGCAAATACATGTGACATTGGACATCAGGTAAGACTGCTGGCATCTTAACATGAATTAAGTCTATGGCACCAAACTCAACTAAAAGTCGTTCTTCACTGTACACATTCACATACACACATACACAAACAAATCCTGTCTCACTTAAGAAGAGCCATGATGAAGCAGTTAAGTATTATTCATTTTTTAAAATCTCAACCATGGAATACTTGACTCTTTAAAATTCTATATAACAAAATGGGAAGTATATATAAAACATTCTGGATATATCATGAAGTGACGATGGTTGTCTGGTCATCTGGAGGAAAAACACTGTGTACTCTTTGAGCTGCAAGCTGAAACTAGCCTCTTTTTACATTGAATATAATTTTCACTTGGAAGGATGACTGACAGAGTTTATTATGAACACTTAGAAATTTGGCAAGCATTTTCTCAAAAATGAGGTGAATCTGTCATTTCAAGAAAAACAACTGACAGTACTTATTGCTAATGATAAAATATCAGCTTCCAAGTGAAAAGTAGAATTTTGAAAATTTTTCTTCTCTACCCTGAGCTTGACCGAAAATACCAAAACTCAAAGACCTGTCTAATGAGTTTGATGGTGATAATTAATGAATGTGATTTTCATGTGTGTGTGACACTTGGAAGATATGCACAACTCAGGCAATCCGTATTTTCATATGACCAACATGACGCCACAAAATCATGCATTAGTAAAAGAGTCACTCAACGTACAAAATAGACCACTGGATTTTAACATAGCTGGTGACAAAAAGTTTTTGGTGTGACTTCAGATTCACACTGCAACTATGGTTTAAGAAACTACGACCTGACCAGTTCTGCCACAGTATTGAAAGAAGATACACAAAAAAGTCGTCTGAAAAAGCTATTAAGTGATCAATCCTCTCTTTTCCAAATCCATGTGTGAGGTCAGATTTTCTTCATAGGCTTCAAGCAAAACAACAAAGCAACAGATTTCACATAGAAGCAGATATGAGAATCCGTCTGCCCTATATTAAGCCAGACATTAGGATATAAATGCAAAACAGTGCCATTATGCTCACTGTATATTTTTGTTTTAGAAAATAGTTATTTCATTTATTTCCCTAAAAATATGTGATGCTCATACATATTGGAAAATTATTATAAGCATAATGGACATATTTTTTAAACTTTAAGTTTTAATTTCTAATATTATACATATTGATAGATATAACCCACATTAACAAAAGCTCTTTGGGGTTTTCAGTCATGTTTAGGAGTGAAAAAGGGTCCTGGGGTGACACCTGGTGTCCGACTCTTGATTTTGGCTCAGGTCATGAAATCAGGGTGGTGGCCCGGAGCCCCAGTGTCAGGCTCCCTGCTCAGTGGAAAGTCTGCTCACTCACACCACTTGAGCGCATGTGCATTCTCTCTCTCTCTAAGAGAAATAAATAAATCTTTTTTTAAAAAGAGTGTAAAGGGGTCCTAAAACAAAAAATATTGACCACTGTTTTTCTAAAGCAACAATCCATGGAAAATTCTGAAAATCCAAAATCTCCAATTCTGGTCCATGGATAATCAATCCTTGTGTTTGCTGCTTATCTATCACCAAACTTATACCATGCCTACTAGATAAACCAATTTTAAAAAAATCTTTAATACTGCTTACATCCCCATTCAAGGGAAGCAAATCAGCACTACTCACTACACATCACATTTGATATCTTCTTCCTTTCCTCTGCCTCAAAGTCATACTTAGTTTTTTAAACATGGATCCAAACCTTCTCAGGCTACATTCTCTACACTTATTTACTATCTTAAAGTTATTTACTATAAAGGACTTTGCTTTTCATATTAAGACCAGTTATGTGGTAGGAGTATATATAACTACCTCTAAAATTGAGGCCATAAAATGTCTAAACAAAATGTCTCTGAACATTATCTGAGGTGGTAAAATGCTGGCATATTTCCCCCCAAGTTTGGGCCACTCCACTGTAAATGCCAGGGAGGGGTGGAGATTGGCACTCAATGTTTTGGATAGTATCTTTTGTTTGTTAGTTTTACAACTAGAAGGGGTCGACTGAATTTAGTCTTTAATAAGAAGCCCAAACTCAAGAGAGCAGAAAAACAAAACAAAAAGACTCGGCATCCCTAAAAGCAGGAAAGTATTTTTGGGGGTGAGGTGGGGGGTGCAGAGGGAGAGAGAGAATCTTTAAGCAGTCTCCACGTCCAGCATGGAGCCCAATGCAGGGTTCAATCTCAGCACCCTGTGATCATGACCTGAGCTGAAACCAAGAGTCAGACACTTAACTGACTGAGCTACCCAGACACCCCGAAGCAGGGAAGCTTTTAATAACAAAATATTAAACATCAGCAGAAGCATGAGGATTGATGTAGAACTATATCCCTGAGCCAAAATAAAATAATTTAACCATACAATTTATCATCTTACCTGCCGGTATCTGATGGCCATTCAGAGCCAGACACATTTTGCCATCTGGGGCTTTCACGAAACCTTCACGACACAAACACTGGGCAGTTCCAAACCTCTCTTTGCAAATATGTTCACAGCCTCCATTTTGATGTAAGCAGGGCTGTGCTCCTTGTGGGGAAAAGAGGTACATTCACAGACGGGCTTGGAGATCAAAAAAAGTGCCATTGATACAGATCACAGAGTACAGCTTTTGGGGGGAAAATTTCAGTGTATCTAAATGGAACCTATATCAAGATCTATTTCAGAAGATTTCCTAATGGAGCCAGTTCTAAGATCAGCTCGGAATGTTATTACCTTATGCATATTTATTGAGTATAGTCAGTACTTCTTTTTTGTATTACGTAGTACTATTTTTTTGTGTGTTTATTTGACAGAGAGAGAAAGAGATCACAAACAGGCAGAGAGACAGGCAGAGAGAAAGGGGAAAGCAGGCTCCCTGCTGAGCAGAGAACCCGATGCTATCCCAGGACCCTGGGATCATGACCTGAACCGAAGGCAGAGGCTTAACCCACTGAGCCACCCAGGCTCCCCAGTATAGTCAGTACTTTTGTTCAAGAAGCTCGATAGGCGGATATGATCCCTATTTGCTGACTCATAATCTATTCAAACCAACAAGGGGCAATCCAGAAGGAAATTAGTACAGGACACTGATGATGTTCAGGCCCTGGCGCTCTCAGGGGGGTAGGGAAATGCCCCAGTCGAGATAGAAGCTTCTACTGCAGGTGTCTAAATCACTCCCCATCCCTCATTCCCACCCTCAGTGCCCTTACCCCAAGACTCCTTGGAAAGGAGCAACTTAAGTAGAAGCTGGTCAGGAAAAGCAAACATGAGAATGGAAAGATGAAGCCCAAATTTACTACCAGATTGTCTCAGTTTAAACCCAATCCAAATCTCAGGAAATCTTAACATCCACCCAGATTAGTGAGAATTGCCATACCCTCTTCCTCTCCTATCAATTAAAATAGTTACAGATGCCAGCAAAAGAAACACTGTGTGACATGGCCAGTGTACCTGGTTTTGCCAATGGATGGACTACAACCAGTGATGAGGGCTTCAGCATGCCGCCTCGGAGACGTACCCGGTTTTTGCCCGTCCTCTTGTTCACCCTTGTTACCGATGGCATAGTCCAATCCGAGAGCCACACATGGTCCTCAAACACAGCCACAGCAAAAGGGTGCCCTGAAAGCAGTTTAAATCCAAGTCTGAATCCAAGACAAGTACATCTTACCTTTACCATGAATATTTTTAAAAGCACAAGGCTTACAACATGCTCACGTGATTCCCACACTAAAACATTCCTTTACTATAGCTGCTAACCATTACCTATGCCTGAACCAGGGAAAACCCACATGGTGAGGGAACCTTGTTCTAGAAAAGGAGCCCGGTGGTATGAAGGGCTCACATTGTCACACAGCATTTGGGGCATGGGAGAATGTGAGCTGAGTGACAGAATATCAAGAAGGAAGAGGCTAGAGCAGCAATGCTGTGTTTGGTGATTCTGCCGCTATAGACTAAGCTTCAGTGAGTTATTTTACCTGTTTTTGCACTAGGTTCCTTGTATTTTAAGTGGCAACAATAAGGAGTAGGCTAAATGTGCAAGTTGTTGTAAGGACCTTTAACAATTCGAAGTAACTCAGTAACCGTCTCTTTAAATTCCCATCTCCAGCAACACATTTCCCTGCATTGGACCCCCACCTCCTTTCCTGCCTCTCCTGTTATCTAGTTTTAGTGCATTGGCCTGTGCTCCTGGTCTCATTCTTCCTGCCTTCTCTCACACCTTGTTCTGTTAATTATCCCTTTCTTTTACATCTTCACTCTCTTCCTTCTACTAGCTGCCTTCCCTTAGCTCATTAATATCCCCATCTCCCTGACCCCTCTAGCTTCCTTTTGTCTTTTTCCTTCCCATCTTGGCCAAGCTGATTAAAAGTCATTTATTATCTACTGCCTCCATTTTCACGGCTCCTATCACCCCTAAGTGGGCTCTTTCTGACCCCACCTCAACTAACCCACCTCTCCATGCCCCTGGAACTGCCCTGATAAGATATTCAAGTATTTATAGTAAGCAGGGAAATGCTGTAATACATTGTCTCAAGTGCTTAGAGGCTAAAGCTAGGGAGCCCCAAATTTGGAACCTTTAATCATGTTCAGTCACATTTCCCAGGCCAGTTTTTTTGCAAATGAGCAGTGGTTTTGGTGGGTTAGAATGAATGTCTCCCTCTTCTGGCAGCAAACTCAAATGACTTGTGCTGGTGACAATGAGTCTCCATTCATCATTACTGACCAGAGCCATTACGAGCATCTTAGTAGTCTCTAGCCTTTTGTTCCCAATTAAAGCCATAAATGAAGCACAGGCATTTTTATATAGCTATGAGGTTTTTTTGTTATGGCAAAATACCTCTAACATAAGATATATCATCTTAACCTAGGCATACATTTTAGTAGTGTTAAGTATATTCACTTTGTTATACAGCCAACTTCCAGAACTTTTTTATCTTGCAAAACTGAAACTCTAATATCCATTAAACCACCACTTCCCATTTTCCACCCCACTTGTAGCACATGTCAGAATTAGCTATTTTTTTAAATCTTTTTAAAAATTTTTATTTTTTATTTTATTTTTCTTATTTTTAATACTGAAATATAGTTGATGAGAATTAGCTATAGTTTTTCAACAAATACCTCACACTAGAAACAATCTTCATTAGTTTTTTAAATAGAAGAGCCACAGTTGAATGTTAAGTAAAGAATGAATTTCTTCGGGGGCACCTGGGTGGCTCAGTCAGTTATGCGTCCAACTCTCGATTTCGGCTCAGGCCATGATCTCAGAGTTGTGAGATGGAGCCCTGTGTCAGGCTCCACACTGAGCTTGAAGTCTGCTTAAGATTCTCTCTCTTCCTCTGCCTTCTGCCCCTCCCCAGTCCCTACCATGCATTTAAAAAAAAAAGAATGAATGAATGAATTCTTCAATCTTTACATTAAAAATCCTGAGTGAACAGCCGAGAAGCCACCACTTACTTATATGCCAGTAGATGGCACTGTAATGATGGAAATGGTCACTTAGATCTTTTCATAGCAGATATCTGATAATGGCTTTTTTTTTTAATTTAAATTCAATTAACATATAATGTATTATTTGTTTCCGGGATACAGGTCTGTGATTCATGAGTCTTATAGAATATCCAGTGCTCATTACAACATATACCCTCCCCAAAGTCCATCAATAATGGCTTTTAACAGGAAATTGTATTAGTCACAGATTACAACAGCATAGAAATTATTCACAAAGTATCTGTTATGCTTTTTGGGTTAACATATGGTATCTTTACATTCTGGTTAGGAATCTTCAAATCCTTTTATGCCTTCATGTATCAAAGCTATAATTTCCCATTTATTTGGATGATGTATTTTTTAAATAATATATGCCCCCCGCATGACCTCACAGGAAACATTTTTGTTTTACTCTCTACTGTATCTCCACTTCCCAAAATGACTCCATAAAGTGCCTGGATGAGTAAAGTCTATGATCTTACATAAGTTTATGATTTATTGTAACGTATACCTTTAATTTTTTTTTTTTTTATTTTGACAGACAGAGATCACAGGTAGGCAGAGAGGCAGGCAGAGAGAAAGGGAGAAGCAGACTCCCTGCTGAGCAGAGAGCCCGATGTGGGGCTTGATCCCAGGACCCTGAGATCATGACCTGAGCTGAAGGCAGAGGCTTAACTCACTGAGCCATCCAGGCACCCCTTATACCCTTAATTTTTAAGGAATCTTGGAAGTATATAAAATTTTAAATTTACTTATCATGATCAATTTAGTGTATAATATATATCTAGAAATTCATCTCCTCTAACTCAAAAAGAATAGACAAAATAAATATGGAATTATTAATCAGCTTCTTCATAAAAGAGATAGACCATATTTTTTGCATCTACTCAACCAACCAGCTTCTGAATCTTTGAAGCATCTTCAGCATCTCCCTGACTCTCATTTTGATATCCAATCTATTACCAAATTCTTGAAGTTTTTCATTTACAGTGACTTTTTTTTAATACTCTAATCCTCCATTCTACTTTGAAATGGCAATGTTCTATCTCAGGCCTGCATCGACTATTGACTAGACAACAGTTGTAGCCTCCTGACTAATTTCTTTCTCTCCAGATTTCAATCCAACCCTGATACTGCTACCTAAGTGCTTACAAGGAGATGCTAGTCTTATCATATGTATTTCCTGCTCAAGAAAATGCAGTGGCTCCTGGTATACTCAGTATTTCTCTCTCTCTCTTTAAGATTTATTTATTTCTGAGAGAGAGAGAGTTCAGGCTCACGGGAGTGGGGTAAGGACAGAGGGGAAGCAGACTTCCCACTGAGCAGGGAGCCCAACCCAGGGCTCAATCTCTTTACCTGTGGATCATGACCAGAACTGAAACCAAGAGTTTCACGCTTAACCAACTGAGCCTCAGACATCCCCAGTATTTCTTTTTTAACATTCAGCATAGACTACAGCATTTTAATATGTTTATGAACATACATGTCACCCCATGAAAATATAATAGGAAAGAAAACTATGTTAATCTTTGGTTATGAATGGATATTCATTAATACCTAAAGGTGATACTATGACAGTTATACAAACGACATTATCTAAAACCTAACAAATGACAACTGAATAAAGTTCTTATCCCCAAAGAGGTCTTAAAATTTTTAATATTTTCCTTCTGATTTTGGGAAACTTGGCAAAAAGAAATGCTTATAAATCATCATGTTTTTATCCAGTATTCCAATGTGAAGGTAATCTTTGTAGCTCAGAAGTCCCCAAAGTGTGTTTGTCTCCATACTTCTCTCACCATATATAGCTGAGGGAAGGGTGTGTCTGGGGGGTGAGTGTGTGTGTTCATCTGTGGGTATGTGTAAACACATTTTGTATCTAACAATTGTCAACACTCAGGACAAAAGGAAGAGATCACCCATCCCAACGGCTCACCTACATCGTTCTGGACAAGTCTTTGGCGTTGTGAACCATCCAGATTGGCCATTTCGATCACAGACAGCTTGGCATCACACCAATACAATTTGTCAGTTAAGTAATCAATTGTTATTCCACTGGGCCAGACCAGATCAGAATTAGCTATAACCAGTCGGCCAACGCCTTGAAGGGAAGAACTTTCAATCCGTGGCTTAATCCCCATATCAGTCCAGAATAATTTCCTTTAATCAAGAAAGCATACAACAAATAAAATTTGCATGAAAAAAAATTCTTCCATTCTTTCATCACTGAAAACATCAATGTAAATCACTTTAGAATAAACCGAAGTGGTACACCAAGGAATGTAGAAAGTATAGCAGTGTACTCCAGACATGTAATGTTCTCAATAGCAAAAATTATCTTGTCTACGTAGAGCATCTTAGATAGGAAATGCTGAATTAAGTCTCAGATCATTGGATAAAGAAGAAATAAAAAAATTAGTTTGAAAAATTGAACTATATTACTAATTGAAAGTGTGTTCAAGAACATATTCTTAAATTAGCATTTCATGCTGCAAAAGGCAACACAATCTTGTTAGCCTGTCCCTCTGCTACACATTTATAAAACTCACTATACATGTAAAATTGCAACATAAAAGAAATAGCATATTTATCAGTTATCTAGTTTTATACAGTGTACTCAGTTAACTTGGTCAATTTTAAGTTACATGAATTGGATGCTGAGGCACATTTTTTGAGGTCAATATGGTTCATTATCTTTCATATTGGTTTGTTTAGAGATGGTTACATTCTCACTTTTTAAATCACATGGCTGGCTCCAAATCAATTATCAATTACTGCCAGTATATTATTTCCCATAGACCATAATAAAATTCCCATTAGAAATAAAATAGGGCTAGTTTTCAATCCTTGTTTTTTAACAACTAGGAAGGAATCCATTATTTTCCTTAATTCTCTAAACTTAAACCAACATTTTTCGCCAATATGTCAAATTCACGATTACCAACATAGTTCTCTCATCTTTCATGGTTTCTATTTCCAGTTATCTAAATCTAGGAATGACCTATCATTCAAACTCATCTTATGTTTTCTCTAAATAGAATTCATAAGGCATGAAATACGAAAACCATCCTTTGTTCAGGAGAGCAATAATGTAGATTTTTAAAGAAAGTAATTTTGTGGGCTTGCATCTAATTGGTTAATGAATTATAGCCCACTTCTTTTAAAAAAAATTAAATTGGCTTAAAAGGAAGGTTATGGGAATAACAAAACTTTTATGTAAGAATAGAAAGTTGAAAGACATAAAAGGATGAGGAAGTCATGCTAGCTATATCATTTCTGAAAGTTTGAACCAATCTCATGGATTTTCTTGATTTCTGAATTCCCTGAACACCTGAGGTCTTACGACAAATTTTGGACACTAGTACATCAAACATGAACTCTCATGACCCCTATGGGAAAGTGCATTATTTTCACAAATACTTACTTGGCCATTGGATGAACAGCAATTCCTCGTGGCTGAGAGAGGTCCTCCTTGATGATTATTTCACGATGTTTTCCATTTAAATCACTCCCTTCAATGAGAGATTTCCTAAGATGCATGTAATAAAAAGGAGCTTGTTACATCAACTTTACTTTTTAAACAAACGTACTCCTTCTCCCTGTTACTTACTGAAATGCAAAGATAGGCATTCTAAACTACCTCCATCACATGTGTGCACACACATACCCACATACTCTCAACACAAGTCAAGGTCATCACACGTACATACACACATGTCAGGACATACACCCATGAATTCTATTTTTTTTTAAACAGCCCTTTAATCAGCACCCCAGTATTTATCCCACACAATTAAAATACACAGTGCAAGGATAAGGTAAGAGGGGACTTTGTCAGGGGCCTGGCAGGGACAAAGTCAGGAGTGTAAATACCACCGACCCCTTTTCTTCACAACCTCCCAGCTCCTGCTAAACCCACTGAAAGCCAGAGAGGAGCAGCTCTCTTCTTCATGGTCACAAGTCACAGGGAGGAGAGAGAGTAGGCCTCGAAGGGTGACAGAGGCAGCTAACACAAGGACAGCAGAGGCGAGATTTCTGTTGACTTTGTTTTCTTCTATATGATTCTAAGACAAATAAGAGTACTGAAATATTATTGCTAATCTTTACATTAAAAATAATAGGGGTGCCTGGGTGGCTCAGTTGGTTAAGTGTCTGCCTTAAGCTCAGGTCACCCTCCCAGGGTCCTGGGATCAAATTCTGCCTTGGGCTCCTTGCTCAGCGGGGAGCCTCCTTCTCCCTCTGCCTGTTGCTCCCCCTGCTTGTGTGGTCCCCCCTGACAAATAAATAAATTTTAAAATTTAAAAAAAAAAACCCTCTGAAATCTGGCAGAGGAGAAAATCCTCATTTCCTGATTTTTCTATTTGTTAAACTGATCTTTATTACAAGTAAGTATTTACTGAGCACCTACAGTGTGTCAAAGATTTGCTGAAGCATTAGAGACAACAGTAAACAAAACCCTGCCTCTGTCCTTGTAGAGCTCAGAGTCCCGCAGGAGAGGTTGAGGGAATTATAGTTTAGGGAACGTAAAGAATGCAAGTGGCAGACTCAAGACAGATGCCTTATTCCAGCATGCCTCACCCTGTTTACTAACCTGGGCTTCCAAGCAACAACCAGGAGCAGGCAGGACCACAGGCTGAGAGGATAAGAACCTTCCCTCCCACCCCGTGTCATCTGCTCAGCCTGTTTCCCTACCTGTACACTGGAAAGTATAATTATCTTTAATTCATTCAACCAACATCTGGGAAGGCCTATCCCTTGCTCTTGTGGGCAATGTCCACATAAAACAGGCCTGACCAGAAACACAGGGCAGAACTATTCTCTCCTCCCTGATCTACTAAACACTAAGGAGGTCTCTGCATGGTTTATGTGAGTGTATGTACTTTCTAGCCACTCGGTGGGGAAGGGGTTTCATATAGTCCTCCTCATAGTTTCTGTGAGGGAGGGAGACAAAGGCAAAAATGGCTCAGAGCCTGTACTGGTCAAGTACACGGTACAAACCACCAACTCAGGGCACTGGATAACTGGAAGCCATTTGCACAACAGAGCCACTCTTAAAAGATAATTCTATTTCCAGATGAAGTGATCCGTCGCCAAGGTACTGCCGGCTGGAAGGTATTTTTGAACTCGATGTGTCAACTGTCACTGAGCCTTTCCCTGAGTGGGAGGGAAGGAATTCTGAGGCCACTTGCTTGTGACCAGGGGAGAAAAAACTGTTAGTTCTGATCTCATGGCTACATCATCTCTAAATTCTTACTGTTTTGAGCAGGAGTGAACTGATGAGAATCAAGACGGACGTAAGCTCCTGACGCTGGAGCTGTCTTAGGCAGGATTTCTGGAATTTACTTTCACAGCTCCCCAGGGGCTCACCCAGTAATACACTTCTTTTCATTCAGCCAGAAAGCAAATCTCTAACTCCAGTGTAGGTGATGAGAAAGCAAAGACAAACATGGACATCTGGGTGCACACGAGTTCAAGCAAGACCGTTGATCTAATGCAGCATCTTTCTCTTTTTTTCCATGATCTAATTGGTCTCGATGCCTCTGGGATGCCCCAAAACCCACCCTGTGGACAGGCCAAGACTTGTCCACCCAGAGCCCTGGAAGAGTGATTTATTCCTCCCAGGAGGTATAAATCATGAGCAAACATATATTTTTGCCCTCCTAATTCATTTTTGCTGGGCATTTGACTTTAAGAATCAGGATTCCTTAATGCTAAATGATATCAAGGCCAGTGGAATGATCTATTAGCTTCCTTCCTACAGTGAGATGTTAATGTGAGTAGGTCTTTTCCTCAGCCAATATAAACTGTAAGCATCCACTCTGATTCTTTCAATTGGCTAAGAGTTACCATATAATCTAATATCATGAGCTTGGAATCTCAATTATTTCAATCCAATTTCTAGCTAATATCGAGGTTTTCAAGCTATAAACCTCTCATTTCCAGACAAATTAAAGGTTTCCTGTTAACAGCTGCCATTAGAGGGAAGAGGACTTAGAAGGGCTTGTTATTACCGAAGTCCGTGAACTAGGGAAGTTGAGGTCTGATTCTCCAGCCCACAGAGGTGCCTGACTATCTCCTGAAGGCATTGCCTTGCAATAGGTACCACGGGGCCATTAATCAAACACTGAAAATTAAAGGTGCCATGCAAATGCAGGAAATATGAGGAGACCTGGCATCCTTGGAGAGGCCAAGAGCGGCTGACATCTGCTGTCCGGATCAACGTTTACCTTTCTGGGAACAGCCGCAGACAAACTCTGTTATTATACACAACTGACACAATTATACACAATTTTAAAACATCCTTTTAAGTAGGTTCCACACAGAGGAGGCTGTTATTATGATTTTTATCATTACTACAACTAAAACTCCAGATCTACTTCTTGCTGGCTGCTTGCCATTGGGGAAGCTACCTTACCTCTTTAATTCCCAGGTTTTTTCATCTTTAAATTGGGGATAAGAAAACTTACCTTTTTGGGATTCGAAGTGTCATAACTATAAAGCTCTTAGCATAACATCTGATGCATTTCAGATATTCAATAAATAAATATGCAAAGAATAAAGGAATAAAGATATGTTTAAGTAAATGAACAAAAATGAATGAATGAATGAAAATGGATTACTGTGAATATAAAAGTACCATGTTATTGATAACTGTACACCATGCCATACATCTGGCTCATTTTTAAAACACCATTTGTCTCCCATGGATTATCCAGACCAAAAAACTTTTCTGGGACGTAGGAAAACTACCCCCAGGTCTATAAATCTGTTCCCTGGGACTTCTCCTTCTGGATTGGGACCACTGACTTCCTAGAGGTGAAATCCTAATCAATTCTACCTTCTTTCACTTTACCATAGTTGCATAGGTTGACTACCATTAATTACACTCTGTGGCTTTAAGTGCTCTGATCAAACATCCTAAAGCACAGAGAATTTCTCTCTCAGAAGCAAGGAGTGGCCCTCAATAGCACACAGAAAAGACACAGCCACTTCCTTTCCCCACCCTCCTCCCACCACCGCCATTCCTTGGGTTCACACAAGCCACACACACACCAAGCACACCTGCCCCTCTACAGCCAGGGGAGCAGTACGCACAGAGGACAGGAACAGCCTAGCTTCTCTCTAGTTCTGGGAAAGCCAGCATCAGGGCAAGTAGACCATCTCTCCACTCTCGTGAAGACTTGGCTCATAACTCCCACGTTCAGCCTTGCTCCCTCCCTCCTTTCATGCTTATTCATGAGGAGACAACATGTGCCTTCTGGTCTGTACAGTGAGGGGGTGGGGCTAGCTGATTCCTGGAGCCTCTTCCAAGCCCCTCCAGGTGTGCACAGCCTTCATTTGGCAATTATTTATGCACCACCTTCTTTCTACATTCTCTTATACTGATACGTGGAACAAGCATTTGCCCACGTTCCCGAGGATATGGGGTATCCAGAGCAGATGCTCAGAGGATGCTCAGTGATTGTATTCAGACAGGCTTTGCCTTTCTCTGATCATAGCCTGAAGATCAAAAGCCTAGGTTCCTTCCTTGGTCCTCACAATTCTCCCTTGGATATAGATCCAGTCTTAATGAAACGAGGACCACCCTGCCTGGTAGTGTGGGGGGAGTGGAGGGAATGTGGACAGCATCAGGGGCATCTTTCCTCCAGTCCCACCCAAGTGCCCAGCAATATTCTCTTGGGTTCAAAGTGGAGGCTGAGACCATTGCTATCACTTATGCCTCATTCCCATCCCACGTGGCTTACAAGTTAAGGAGGAAGCATACCCCCTGTCCGTCCAGTAGAATTTACGCTCAATCCAATCTATGGCAAGACCTTCTGGCACATCTATAGCTTCCTCAATAAGCCTTTCTCGCTGGGAACCATCCATAGTAGCTCTCTCTATCCACTTCAAGGCTGTATGGGCGAAATATATCTACGAAAAAGAACACAGGATTTTTATCTGATTTGTTTTTAAAAATTAATGTGGAATAGATATACAGACATGGTTAGTAAATCTTAAGATCATATAGTGCGACCACTAAGAACTTGGCTTTGGAGATAGACACACCTGCAATGGAATTCCACATTTCACCTCTGCTGCTTCCCAGATGTGAGTAAACATAAGCAGCTTCCTCCAGGTCTCAGACTCTCAGTGTCCTCATTGGTTAAGTGGGGATAATAATATGAATCCAAAAAGGAGATATACCTACATCTGTGTACATTTATATACATATAGATATAGATCTATCCCTATGCCTGGCACATATTTCTATTACTACTGGGTAATTTGTTAAACTTTGATAATTGGTCAATAACCAAGCCATTGTACTTGAACTCTAATGGCTTCTACAGCCTGAAAGGGAGCAACGATGAACAGTTTAGTGGAGGCTACAAGCTGGGCTATGTCTTCCACCGCTCAACCCACAGCCCTACACTTCCCTACAAGTCTGGAGACACAGGTTTGTCTCCCAGTTCAGGCCCTTCTTTGTTTTCATTGAGTTGGCCAAGTCATTAAACTCTATCTTCTCAACTGGAAAAATGACAAAGCTAAACTAGATATTTGTTAACGTTTCTTTCATCTCGAACCATATTTAATTGCATTTTAATTAATCCATCTTCAACAGAACATTAACTTGCAAGTGCAAAGCTCTTTTTCACTCTCCTATGCAGACTAGCCAACGGGTACAAGAATTTTGTGAGAGTGTTAAAAACTGCCGTGGGTCAGCTGACCATTTAATGATAGCATTTGTGGACTTTAGCTGAGTAGATATATGTACATAAACTTATAATCAATGATGAGAATGTTCATGAAGTGGTAATTCATTAACCAATGGGGTATCATCTTTCACTATAGATGAAACAGAAAAGGTTCTGTTCCATAAGACAAAAATGGGTACTTCTCCTATTAAAAAATACTAAGCTAGAGCTCTTCTCAAACTCAAGTGTACACCCGAATCACCTGGAAATCTTGTTAAAATGCAGACTCTGCTTCAGAGGTCAGAAGTGGAGCCCAGAAGTCCGCAGTACTAACAAGCCCCAGGCGATAACAATGCCGCCGGTCCAAGGACCCCAGTTTGAGGAGCAGGGACAGGAGAACTTGACGAGGGAAATGAAAAGCAGCCACATGACTGCAAGTTCTTCTAGGTCTCTTTAGTCACCTTATAAATGCTGACTATGTCAGTAAAAAAAAAAAAAAAAAACTAGTTTGGTAACAAATGAATCTTGAACTGATTTTGTTCCTATTAGTTATTTTCTTTCTATTAATATAATTCCTCCAGGAAGTCATATAGATTCAGTTCAAGGACAAGAAAGAAGGATTTTTTTTTTGGTTAGTGTTTAAGTATAAAGCCTCTCTTTGCAAAAAGAGTTATATTTAGCTACCAAACCATAGCAATTAAACACAATCAATCTGTTTCACTGTCTCCTTTGACCATTTACCAGACTGCTTCACATCAGGAAGACACCGAAATACACAGTTTAAAACTCTAGGAATGAATGCACTATCTAGTCATAACTAAATAATTAATTAATAGCTATATAAATGTATAACTACCATATGATTAATCTCCAGAAGACACCATATCATTTCAAGCACATTCTAACCTAGCACAAATATAACCCACCCCAGCCTCCCACCGTTTCTGCTATTGGCAAATAACGGAAAACCCATTTATGGTAGTCCCCCCTGGGTACAGCACTGTTCTAGCCTCCCAACCTCATCTCCAAAGAGGAGACTAAATTTAAGAGCCTGCTCAATCATTTCCAATAAAATAGCTGAGTCACAGTAAGGGCCAGGGTAGGGTTATGAGAATAGGAGAGCCCTTAACATTTCCCAAATTACGCTCCAGTGTCTGTATCTACATTTCTCTGCGCCTAATCATTCTGAACTTAGCAGAGGATTTTTAAGTAGCTCAGGTCATCTGCTGGGATAAAATCCTCTACTCTGTCCATAAGACATAGCCACCTCTGTTCAACGACAAAGCCATACCTTATTTTCCACGGGGTCGTAATCAAGGGCAAAAACTGTTCCCATCTGCTGGCTGAGCAGGGTTCCATACGCTGTTCCATCAAAATGCAAGCGTCGAATATCTTGAGAATTGGCAAACAGTAAAAATGGCTGCGGTCCTGTTAACCAAATTCAAGTATGCCTCCATTTAAAATATGCCTTGGAACCCAATAAGCACTTCTGACTTCTCCTTTTCATCGTGCCCTCTTTCTGCAGTTCTTACCTACTTAATATCCCCCCAGAGTGGTGTAGGTTAAGACAGGGAAGAAGTTTTCTCCTATGAGGAGACATTTTACCAGAATTCCATTTTACTGGATTCCCCTCTGTCTAGGTACCTGCTTTTAAAATGCAAATTACTCATAAAAAGAGCCGGCATTAAATAGCCAGCACCGTAGCTAGATGACGCAAGTCTTAGTGCCATGATCTTCTTGATTCACACATATGGAAACATATTAATGTTAGCAGATAATATTAATTCATGTCGGGATAAATACATTTCTCTGACCTGGGCACTTCTGAAAGGGGGGCATTATTATTCAAGTTAATAACAAGACCCCTGATAATTTTTGAGTTCAGATTATGCTATATTCACGAAGGCCCTGAGAACTTAAGAGTATTGGGGTCTAAGGCAAACTTTGCAGGATCCTCATTATGTTACCCCAGATTATAAGCATAATGAACCTCAGGAGAGATAACATCAATTTGATATAAATCTAGGAATCTAAGGTTGTTGAAGGACACAAGAGATAGAATGTCAGCAGATGAAAAAATTATTCAAGCATTCAACTGCATATTAAATCTTGACATAAAAAGGACAGAATTTGTCAAAGTATTATGACTTACATTCTCTGAAGAGATGGAAATCAAATCAATCAACAAATATTTATTAAACGCCTCTAAACTATGAAGTCTTTTAAAACAGTTCTGGTCATGATTTTCGCATATACTGGAATGCCATACTTGATGTAATGGCAAATCTTTGCTGAGTGCTGATAAACTAGAAACATTCCTCAAAAATATAATTATTTATTTATGTGATTCTTATTTATATCGACAATGTGATTCATTTTCTGTTTCCAGAAAAATAAAAAATCAGATGTTCCACTCAGAAGCCAAACACAATTTAATTCCCCATCTTTCTAAACAAAGTGTTTTCGTATAATCTTTTTGCAGAGACACACTTTCAAACATCCACAACACTAACCTGATGCCACACAGCTTTTTTTGTCCAGTTGTAGGTCATACCCAGGAAAGCAACCACATTCCCAGGAGACTGGGCTGAGAGGGAGGCAGAGCTGGCTACACCCACCATTATCAGGTGACGAACAGCCTATGAAAACAAGCACTTGCTGATGACACCATGTCATTCAAAAATATAACAATTTTTCATCAAAACATTGAGTGAGCCCAATACGTGAGAGTTTTTAAAACCATTTCCACAATATTTTATACTGCTGCAATCAAGGTCATTTTTCAGAGACTAGGAGGAAATTTCACCGTATTCTATTTTCCTTTAACCTTATAGCTTGAATGTTAACCCTTCACATGGCAACAGCCCCTGTCCTCCGTTCGACCACTGAGTTTGAAGACCAGTGCGCTGACAGCGGCTGGAATAAGGAATATATTTTGATGAGTTTGACAACTGGTTCAACTCTTGCTAGTGAGTAATATATTTTCTTCTCACATATATTTTTGGACTCGTGAATTTTTTTGCTTTCTTTGTTTTTTAAAAAAAGCCACATATAGCTCTTATGCTAATTCTAAGTTACATCTAGCCTGCTATATGTTAAGTCTCTATGAAGATGAAGTAGAGAGGTATTTGTTAGTTGCAAGTAAAAGGCTAAAAACTCTGCACCTATCATCTTGTTCGATGCTGGCCACAAATCCAGGAAGCAGGGCTGACTAACTTCTACAGATGAAAAAAATGAGACTAAGGAAGGGCAAGTAACTAGTCCAAAATAACACTTCTACCAACAGGTAGTACTACCTCAGAGCTGTCTGATTTCAAAGCCCTTGCCCTTAACTACACCATGCTGTCTAAAACAGAAAATATATATACGTCAACAAAAACCTGATATAAATGTATATGTTACTCTGTTGCACAAATATCTTTTAATGTGTAATGTTGGAAAGTCTCTTCTCCTTTATAAATAAGATCTATCTTTAGGTGTCACTCCAAAAACTAATGTTTGCAAACAAACAAAAAGTCAATAAACTTACCACTACATGTTTTTCCATCTGTCTCAAGCAATGAGCCTTCAGGACAGAAACATACAGGACCATCTGATGTCAGAACACAGTCATAGCTACACTTGGATATATTGCTTGGACAGGAAATTAACTCTAATTAATGAAGAAGCATAAGGTCAAGATTAGTGTTAAATCAGATATGTGAAAATTTAGCAAAATCAACTGCTAACAAAAATGCTATGCTAAAAAGAGTAAGTTAAATCAAGGATCAGACATTTATGAAATGCTATGGTAAGAGAGATGTAAAAATAAAGAAGGATCTCAAATCTAAAAAAATTAAAGAAAGACCTTATTTTGGAAAGTACTTCTAACTTCCTCTAAGTTTCTTTTATGTCCAATATTTTCAAAGTTACTAGTCATCAAAATATTTTTTTGAAAGATTTTATTTATCTATTTGACAGAGAGAGAGCACAAGTAGGCAGAGAGGCAGGCAGAGAGAGAGGAGGAAGAAGGCTCCCCGCCAAGCAGAGATCCTGATGCGGGGCTCAATCCCAGAACCCTGGGATCATGACCCGAGCCGAAGGCAGAGGCTTTAACCCACTGAGCCACCCAGGTGCCCCAGTCATCAAAATATTTTAAATGGAACTTAAATGGTTTGCAAGTTCATCTGGAAAACTAATTGTATATGTAAAAAAAAAAAAAAAACGGTGGTTAGGTGTAGGAAGAGAATGAGAAGCTCTGAACAAACATCAAAATGTATCATAAAGGAGCATTAACTAAATGAGTGCAGGATTAGACAGAGAGGATAACAGAACCAGATAGAAAACTCAATTTAGAAAAGACTCAAGTATGTATAAGAATGTAGTATGTAATAGAGAGGTTTTTTTTAATTAATTTTTGTTAAAAATTTTTATTTATTTGAGAGAGAGCGAGCACGAGCGCATGCATGCATGAGTTGCAGGAGTGGGAGGGGATAGAATCTTCAGGTGGACTCCCCGCTGAGCACAGAGCCTCATGCAATCCCACAACCCATGAGATCATGACCTGAGCCAAAACCAAGAGTCCAGATGCTTAACTGATTGAGCCACCTAGGGGCCCCTGTGGTAATGTTATTTTAAACCATGGAGCATGTGAAAGATCATCCGATATGGCACAGAAATAACCGAGAAACGATTTGAGGCAAAAGTTAAACCCCTACCTTACACCATACATCAAAATAAATTCCAAGTAAATCAAAGATTAAAATATAAAATATGTGTACCATAGAGGTCTTAGAAGTTTTGACAATCAAGTGAGATTATGCATGACATGCTTGGCACGCAGTGGATTCCATAACAGATTAACATCATGCACTTATGTATATTTGCAACAGGTAAATCACATGGTATGAGAAGAAGGGCAAATTCCACAGACAAGCACAAATGTAGTGGGTGATTTCCAAAAACTCATTACCATCTATCTATTTTTAAAAGCCTCAAATGCCATAAGCACTTTGACACTCAGACTGACCTATTCACTATCATCTCTGGAATAGGACTAGACAATATACATGGTTTTAAACATTAATTTCTACTTAGCTATGTTAGTAGATTCAATAAGAAATCTATAGGAGGGACCTAAGTATGTGATCCTAAATTGAAAATGGGTGTGTCTGTATACATTCATAGTATATTTCTCTTTTAATTTTTTTTAATTTTTTATTTTTTAAGATTTTATTTATTTTTTTGACAGAGAGAGAGCACAAGTAGGGGGAGCAGCAAGCAGAGGAAGAGGGAGAAGTAGGCTCCCTGCTGAGCAGGGAGCCCAATGTGGGGCTCGATTCCAGAATCCGGGGATCATGACCTGAGCTGAAGGCAGCCGCTTAACTGACTGAGTCACCCAGGTGTCCCCATATTTCTCTTTTTAAAAAGTGTATTCCTAGCTCTGATGCCCCAAAAGGATAGACACAATGACTAACTTAATAGCAGGTTATGTTCTCTAAATATAATTTTCTCATTAAAAAGGAGCACTGCTCTTTACGAAATTGCAAATGCCACGTCTAAAACAGAGAATATACAAGATAAGCCTGGAAAGTATGTCCTATGAGATAACAAGGCAACTTTTGAAGACTACTGGGGAGAGCTGGAAGGCAAGGGGAAACTGAATCCCTACCTTTAAAGAGATAACATGACAAAGAGCCTCAGGGAGATACAGCATAGAAGCAGCAGTGAGAAAAACACCTGGAGTATACAAGAAGGAGATTTATTTACTAATCTCAGAATGTTCACAGGAGGGGCAAGGATCTTCAGGTGACTTCTTCAAGAATAAAAGAGCTGGCTAGTGCTATTTCTCTCCCCTACCCCCTGGCCCAGATACACAGACACCTATGCAAGCCAGTAGTGCCAACACTCTCCACCTAGCTTACTAACAACACACCTTGCCCCCACCCTCTCCTGTGGAACCCTTACTGCATCTAACCTGCCCTAGGCAAGCGTTCCAAGTGGCTCCACAACATTGGCTTTATGCAAGCAGCCCAGTCAGGGGTCAGCCCCACTCCAAAGTGACTCCTATCCTGAGGAGAGGGGAAGATAACCACACACACCAGTTTGACTGCAACTCCAGAAGCAGGCTGGGGACAGACATCGAGTCTGACTGCAAGCCCCAGCCACCACTGAAAGCCTCTCAGGAGACAACACGGGAGAGCACCCTGCAGTGTGGTGCAGCCACAGCTCTGGCAAACATCTGTTGTGACCCAACTCAATCACAAAGTGGCCCCAGACTGGCCCATTAATAACACAGGGGTCAAGGATGTACACAGTCATGATTATATTTATTCAATACTGGAAATCCTAGCCACAGCAATTAGACAACAAATTGGTAGGGAAGATGAAAAACTCTCACCACTTGTAGATGACATGATACTATATAAGGAAAACCCCAAAGACTCCATCAATAAACTATTCAAACTGATAAATGAATTCAGTAAAGTCACAGGACACAAAATCAATGTACAGAAATCTCCTGCATTCCTACATACTAATAATGAAGCTACAGAAAGTGAAATTAAGAAAAACAAATCACATTCACAACTGCACCAAAACCAATAAAATATCTAGGAATAAATTTAACCAAAGAGGTGAGAAACCTGTACTCTAAAAACTATAAAACATGGATAAAAACAAACTCAAGACGACACAAAGAAATAGAAAGACATTCCATGCTCATGGATTGGAAGAATGACTATTGTTAAAATGATTATACTACCCAAGACAATCTACAGATTTAATGTAACCCCTGTCAAAATACCAATAGCATTTTTCACAGAATGAAACTAAAACAAATAATCCTGACATTTGTGTGGATCACGAAAAGACTGAATAGCCAAAGCAAACTTGAAAACAAAAAACAAAATTGGAGATCACAATCCCAGATTTCAAGATATACTAAAATACTGTAGTGATCAAAATAGTGTGGTGCTGGCATACATACAGACGCATAGATCTATAGAACAGAATAGAGAACCCAGAAATAAACCCACAACTATATTGTCAACAACCTTCAACAAAGGAGTCAGGAATATACAATGGGAAAAAAGACAGTCTTTTCAACAAATGGTGTTGGGACACCATGGTGTTGGACAGCTATATGTAAAAGAATGAAATTGGACCACTCTTTTCCACTATCTACAAAAATAAACTCAAATGGACTAAAGACCTAAACGTGAGACTTGAATCCATAAATATCCTTAAAGAGAGCAGAGGCAGTAATTTTTCTGACATTGGCCACAGTGACATTTTTTAATAGATATGTCTCCTAAGACAAGGAAAACAAAAGCAAAAATAAACTATTGGGACTATACTAAAGAAAAAGTTTCTGCACAGCAAAGGAAACAAGCAACAAAACAAAAAAATGACTGAATGGGAAATATATTTGTAAGTGACATATCTAATAACGGGTTAGTATCTAAAATATATAAAGAACTGATACAACTCAATACCCCAAAACCAAATAATCCAGTTTAAAAACAGGCATAAGACATAAGCAGATAATTCTCCAAAGAAGACACACAGATGTCCAACAGACACATGAAAAGATGCTGAATATCACTCATCATCAGGGAAATACAAATAAGAACAATGAGATATCGCCTCACACCTGTCAGAATAGCACTACAGGATATTAACTCAAAAAATACAAAAACACTAATTTAAAGGGATACATGTACCCTTATGTTTATTGCAGCATTAGTTACAATAGCCAAATTATGGAAGCAGCCTAGGTACCCATCAATAGGTAAATGGATAAAGAACTCTGTGTGTGTGTGTGTGTGTGTGTGTGTGTGTGTGTGTGTGTAATGGAATATTACTCAGCCATAAAAAAGAATGAAATCTTGCCATTTGCAATGACACGGATGGAGCTAGAGAGAACAATGCTCAGCAAAATAGGTCAGAGAAAGATGAACACCAAATGATTTCACTCTTATGTAGAATACAAGAATCAAAACAAATGAACAAAGGAAAAAAGAGAGAGAGAAAGACAAACCAGGAAACAGACTACTAACTACAGAGAACAAACTGATGGTTACCAGAGGGGAGTTGGGTTGAGAGATGGGTCAAATAGGTGATAGGGATTAAAGAGTACACTTATCATGACCAACAAAAACAAACAAACAAACAAACAAACAAACAATCCACAGAAACAAAATCCTTTCCACAACAGGTGAAGAGGTGAAAAGAGCCATTGCTGATAATTGAGCAAAAGGCAAACAAGTCTCAGTCACAACAACAGGGCACACCTGACACACATAAAAGACACCCCTAAAGTGCCAGTTTCTGGTGAACAAGAGACACTGCAGAGCACTATAGGACCTCTTCTTCATAAGGCCACTACTTTTGAGAGCAGGAGACATAGATGACTTTCCTAACACACAGAAATAGAAATGGGGCATCTGTGTGTTGCAGTTGGTTGAGCATCCAGCTCTTAGTTTTGGCTCAGGTCATGATCTCAGGATTGTGGGATCAAGTTCCACATGGAGCTCTACACTCAGCATGCAGTCTGCTTCAATGTTTTCTCCCTCTGTCCCTCCCACTCATGCTCTCTCCCTTTCCAAAATAAATAAATAAAAAGCTTAATTAAAAAAAAAAAAAGAAATAGATACAGAGAGTTAGACAAAGTGAGGAGATGGAGGAATATATCAACTGAAAAAAAGAAAAACAGGACAAAATCACAGCAAGAGAAATAAACAAAAATAGAGATAAGCAATATGTCTAATAAAGCATTAAATGTAGTGGTCATAAAGATAGCACTGGACTCAAGAAAAAGAGTGGATTATCTCAGTGAGATCCTCAACAAAGATAAAGAAAATATAAAAAAGAATCAATCAGAGATCAAGAACTCAATAACTGAAATAATAATACACTAGAGGGAATAAATAGTAAACTAGAGGAAGTAAAAAAAAATGGATCAGTGAGCTGGAGGACAAGGTAATGGAAAGCAGTAAACCTGTAAAGGAGAAAGAAAAAAAATAATAAAAAATGAGAACAGGTTAAGGGAACTCAATGATACCATCAAGCCTAATAACATTTACATTATGGGAATCTCAGAAGGAGAAGATAGAGAAAGGGGCCAAAAAATTTATTTGAAGAAATAATTGCTATAAACTTCCCAAATCTGGGGAAGTAAATAGATATCCATATTCAAGAGATAGAGAAGGCCCCCAGCAACATCAACCCAAGGAAGTCCAAATAAAAACCAGTAATAATTAAAATGGCAAAAAGTACTGATAAAGAGAGAATTTTAAAAGGAACAAGAGAAAAAAAAAAAAAAAAGTTACATACAGGGGAAAACCCCATAAAGCTATCAGCTGATTTTTTAGCAGAAACTCTGCAGGACAGAAGAAAGTTGCATAATATATTCAAACTGCTGAAAGACTATAAAAAGAGACAAACAAGGACTCTACATAATCATTAAGGGACTAATCCAACAAAAGGATTAATAATTGTAAATATTTATGCACCCAACAAATATATAAAGTGGCTAATAACAAACATAAGGGAAATACTCAATTGTAATACAATAATAGTGGGGAATTTTAACAACCCATTTATGTCAATGGCTAGATCATCCAAACAGAAAACCAACAAGGAAGCAGTGGCATTGTTAACACATCAGATCGCATGGATCTGACAGATATGTGCAGAAGGTTCCATCCTAAAACAGCAGAATACAATTCCTTTCAAGTGTACATGGATGATTCTCAGAAGAGACCACATGTTAGAACACAAAATAAGTCTCAACAAGTTCAAAAAGTCTGAAGTCTTATCATACATCTTTTCTGACCACAACACTATGAAACTAGAAATCAACCACAAGAAAAAATCTGGAAAAATCACAAATGCATAAAGGTTAAATAATATGGTATTAAACCATGGATGGGTAAACCAAAAAATCAAAAAGGAAATAAAAATACATAGAAACAAATGAAAAGGAAAACACGCAGCTCAAAATCTTTGGGATTCAAAAAAAGCTGTTTTAAAAGGGAACTTTTTGATTAGCCTCTAGCCATCCTCATATAAGAGAAAGAGAGAGACAGGACTCAAACAAACTCAGAAATGAAAAGAGGAGAAAAAAAACCAACACCACAGAAATAAAGGAGTTATAAGAGAATGTTATGAAAAATCATACGTCAAAAAATTGGTGAAAATTGGGAAAACTTGACAGTTATATGTAAGAGAATGAAACTGGACCACTCTCTTTTGCCATACACAAATATAACTCAAAATGGATTAAAGATCTAAACATGAGACCTGAAACCATAAAAACACTGGAAAAGAGAACAGGCAGTAATTTCTGTTACATAGAAAATTTTTTCAAGATACCTCACCTAAGGCATCTGAATTAAAGCAAAAATAAACTACTGGACTACATTTTAAAAAAGCTTTTGCATAACAAAGGAAATAATTAACAAAACAAAAAAAATCTGAACAGAAGAGATTTGTAAATGACATATCTGATAAGGGTTAGTATCTAAAACATAAATACAACTGGTACAACTCAATGCCCCAAAAACAAATAATTCAATTTAAAAATCGACAGAAGACCTGAACAGATAGTTTTCCAAAGAAGACCTACAGATGGCCAACAGAGACGTGAAAAGATGTTCAACATCACTCATCACCAGGGAAATGCAAATCAAAACCACAAGGAGGTATCACCTCACACCTGTCAGAATGGCTAAAACCAAAAATATAAGAAACAACAAGTTCTGGCTGTAAGGATCTATTTAGCCAGAGCGACTCCGTCTTGGGTAAATAGCCGTTTTGTTGTTTGTGCAGTAAACTTAAATTGACTCTCCCCCCCCAAGAGAAACTTACTTAGAAACAAGTCCGGGAAACCAGTGAAATGCAGTTGGCTAGTTCCTGATAACAGAGCCCAGAATACAAGGACAAGTCAGGCCAGATGGAGACATCTAATCAGTACGAAGTACTGTTTGTAACAGTGAGAAGGTCTTGACCAAACCTAAATGACTCCATCTTGGGAAGGACGACTATCTTATTATTCACACTGAATATGTTAACTGACTAAACCTTCCCAAAAAGTACTGTTTGTAACAGTTCCTGGTATGGGGAATCTTAAATAACAAGTCACCAGACCAGATGGAACTAGCCAATCAGCAAGAGACACACAAACCCAGTGGGTTGAGATACCAAGATATGGGTTGCAGTTTCACCCAGTAAAAGGTAGCCGGTAAAATTGGGAGGGGTCGCTCTCTTCGGAGACGGCCCTGGCCGGTCAGTCTGACTTCTAATGCTTAGCATAGAATAGAGCTTTGCATAACTTTCACCTTGTCTCAGTCTCGTTCCCCTGACCAAGCCGTCTAACTTCTAATACTTATCATAAAATAAAGCTTTAAATAACTTCCACTTTGTATCAGTCTTGTTTCATTTAATAACAGACCTAACATGGCAATACTGTAGAGAAAAAGGAACCCTTGTGCACTGCTGGTATGGATACAAACTGGTGCAGCCACTGTGGAAAACAGTATGGAGGTTCCTCAAAAAATTAAAAATAGAATTACTATATAGTCAAGTAATTCCACTAGTGGGTATTTACCCAAAGAATACAAAACACTAATTCAAAAAGATATACACACCCCTATGTTTATTGCAACATTATTTGCAATAGCCAAATTATGGAAGCAACTCAAGTGTCCATCAACAGATGAATGGATAAAGAAGTGGTGTACATACCCAATAGAATGTTACTCAGCCATACAAAAGAATGAAATCTTGCCATTTGCAACAACATGAATGGATCTAGATGATATAACGCTAAGTGAAATAAGTCACTCAGAGAAAGACAAATATCATATGACTTCATCATATGTAATATTTAGGAAATAAAAGAAATGAAAAAAGAAAAAGAGAAACCAAGAAACAGACTCTTAACTATAGTGAACAAACTGATGGTTACCAGAGGGGAGATTGGTGAAAGCATGGGGCAAACAGGAGAAGGGGATTAAGAGTATGCTTATCTTGATGAACACTGAGTAATGTATAGAATTGTTGAATTACTATATTGTACAGAAACTAATATAAAACTGTATGTTAATTACACCAGAAATTTTTTAAAAGAATAAAAATAAAACAAAATACATATTTTTTAAAAAGAAAGAAATATGTCAGAACAGACTGGTGAAAAGTAAATCATGTAAAATTTTTCTTTATTAAAACTGGTGAGGGGTGCCTGGGTGGCTCAGTCGGTTAAGTGTCTGCTTTCGGCTCAGGTCATGTTCTCAGGGTTCTAGGATTGAGCCCCACATCGGGCTCCCTGCTCACCGGGGACCCTGCGTTTTCCTCTCCCTCTACCCATGCTCATGCTCTATCTCTCTCTCTCAAATAAATAAATACAATCTTAAAAAAAATTTGGCCAGAACTTGTTGAAAAAAGAGGAAAAAAAAGACTATTAAGGAACTTTATAATGGATGACAGAAAGAGAAATGACCAGAAACTATGCGTCTTCTGATGGAAGTATAAACACACCTAGGAAGTATTCCTGCCAAAAATGTCAAAGCTGAATCTGCTCAAGCCTTGTATCTAACCACAAGTTTGCAGAAAGACAGGGACTTCACAGAAGTGTGATCAGGAAAATCCAAAATGTGAGAAACCACAGGGAAAAAAACAGTTTCTTCCACAGATACTTGCAAGGAGAAAAAAAACAGAGGTGAGGGAATCTGTACAACAAAAGAGAAGTATGAAGCTCATACAACACATAGCTCTTGTCTGGATGGTTGTTCACACAAACCAACTGTTTAAAAAAACTTTCTAAGGTAAGTTGAGCACTGTCTAGACATTTGGTGTTATTAGGGAATTATTGCTCATTTTTTCAGGTGTGACAATGGTATTGTGACCAGATAATAGGTGATAGCAGGGAATTAGAGCGAGTGTTTCAGATATAATAATGTATCATGATTATGTTTTTACATGCTTATCTTTCAGAGATATACAAGAAAATATGGATAAATAAACAAGAAATATATATATAGAGAGATTTATATACTTATTTCCCCAACCTTAGGGGTTTTGATTTAATAGGTCTTCGGTCGTGTCATTCATGTACATAATAAAACATCAAGGTAATTCTGATGCATACTGCTGATCCAGGCTACAGCTATCTGCAACCCAGATCATAGCCACCTGAGAAACATCACTGAAAGTGAAAGAAAATAGTGTAATAAATACTTACGATGACACCGTTTCCCATCAGGAAGCAGAATAAATCCTACAGGGCATGTGCAATAATAAGATCCAGGGATGTTTTCACACCCAAGAGTACAGCCGTGATTCCAAAAGGCACATTCATTGACATCTATGCAATGAAAACAATAAAACATAGGTGGTTATTTTCTTAAATAAGTTGCAATATTGCTAATAAGTCAGCACAAAGTAGAATATCACACTCTCGGATGTGCTGTAACTGACCATGTATTTGCTACCCTCACAAAGAATGAAAGAAGTCAGTTCGACTGTCATGAAAGCCATTTTTACTGTCTCAGTTTATACTTTCAAATAAATCTGTATTTTCACACCAGAACTGCCTTCAGGAAAAAGTAACACAATTTCCCGTGAAAAGATGTAGCCTTTGAAGGTGGAGACTCTTGAAAGTTTGAGATAGGGTTATGACATCCCCAGCTCTTCAGCCTTCTCAGAGCTGACAGGAGCCCTTCACCTGAATGTAGAACATTCCCCAGCAGCGTCACTGTGGTTGAAACCCAGCTTCCAGGCTGCTGTGCTATGGCTCTCTCCCACTGGCCCCAGGTGAGCAGGATATAGTAACTTACACTTCAGTGTCAGGTTTACCTGACATCACACCCCAACTAACTCTACTGAATGTGTGCTATAGCCGTTGAATGATTTTCATTAGTAACTCACTGGACTGACCTCCCAGGACAGAGAATACAGTATTTCTCCCCGGTTCACTGAATTGGGCCTGAATTCACAAAATAGGAGGAGCCCCAGATAAACAGTCTTGGTTACACAGCTTCTCAAGATTCCTGCCAGACTTTTATGAGATGTGGTGTGGGAATCACTTACTCTTGGAGGATCTAATGATAGCTATGGCACTGTACTCCCTTTAAAAATTTGAAAATGCTAACGTTTTGCCACTGTGAAACCCTCAGAGGTCCCGGGAGTCCACTCAGAGAATCCCTGCCTCATATCAAGCTCTGAGTAGCTTCTAAGAGTTCTGGACCTAGGAACACAACACATAGAGAAGATCTGAAAGTTATTACGAAGGTTTTCACAAAAGAAGAAAAAGAAAATTATTTTTCTGGGGCAAAAGGGGAAGAAAGCTCAAGTTGGTTTTACTTCAAAGCTCTGAATGACCCACTGAAGACCAGCTACTGGCTCAGGTGGGCTGTCCTTGCCATAGGGAGCTACCCACCCCCACCGCCCCCACCCGCACATTACCTTCACAGTACTTTCCATCTTGGCTTAAAGTATATCCCTCCGCACATGTGCACAAATGGGACTTAGAGCCTTGACCACACATGCTGCCTCTGCAGCTACCTTTCCTCCATTTGCAGAGTTTCTGATCTAAAAGAGAAGATAGTTTATTTGGAGTAGAGATGTATTTTGACAGGGAAACTGCTTGATCCCTTTATGGTTCTTGGAAGTCTAATACCTCTCGTGACAAGAGTAGGGGTGCTGTCTTTCCCGGAGTGGCTCTGCTCTGGAGCCAAGCAGTATTAGCCTGGATTCTGAAGCATTCAGAGAGGCAGCCCACTTCTCTAATTTATTATTCCTACCAAAGCGCTCAGGATTGGACATCCTAATTAGCTGGCAATTTCACTCCTTGAGCTATAAACACTAAATGCAACTTAGTGTTTCATTCTGCTTTACTTATTTTTTTTTTAAGATTTATTTTTTTGAGAGAGAGGGAGCAGTGGGAAGAGGTAGAGGGAGAGAGAGTCTTAAGCACACTCTGGACTGAACATGAGCCTGATGCCCAGCTGGTTCTCAGCACCCTGAGATCATGACCTGAGCCTACGACCCAAGCCGAAACCAAAAGTCAGGCAATTAAAAAACTATACCACCCAGGTGCCCCTCTGCTTACTTATTTTATATACATTTATCTTTATACAAATACAATTCTATACATTTCTCAGTGCTCATCAAGAGAACTGTATTCTTAATCCCCTTTATTTCATTCATTCTGGTTTATTTTTATTTAAAAAATGATAAAGCACATAAACAAAAATTCTGAAAATGAAAGATCTGTTTAAGAAACAAAAAAGCTTTAATCTTAAGAACATCTTTTTTTAAGTATAATAGTTATAGGTCCTATATATATATATATATATATATATATATATAGCTGTTTTTAGGATCCTTATTTAAAGAACAACATCTTTCAGACTTAAAATACACCACAGCCTTATGTCTTATCCCCAAATTTCTGAGTCCATTGCTGCCAGTAGTCCATGTTTTACAAAACAACCCAGAGTAGATAGTCAAATCTGGTTAGTGAGGTAGGTTCTTGGACTGGATTAGCCAAATACATGGAACAACAAATGGACAATATTGCACCTTTGATTTTCAGAGCCAGAGTCAAGAGACAAACTAGTAATGCATATATCCCTGTTCAAATTTTGTTCCTTCCTACTTTTGCCCATTGTAACAATGATGGGACCTTTGTAAAATGTTCTGGGAAATACAGAGTTAATCCTGAGTCTGAGGGCAGATTTCAAGACCCAAGTAGATATAGAGGTCAGAACTCTGGCAAGAGATGACAGACGGCAGGGGAAAGCTGGGGTCATGGCAGGGTTGAGATCAGTGAGAGCCTCTGAAAAATGAGAAGAGCCAAGGGTCCAACGAAAGGACTGCTAAAAACATGCTGTGAACATCACAGGCAACAAACCAGTAAGAGCCTTTGCTCAGCAGTACAAGAAGCTGAGACCATTCTCCATGTAAGGTTGCTCCTCTAGTCTCTGTTTATCTACTTATAAAGATGTCTCCTCACTCTGACTCTACCAATTTCCTTCTATTTCAAGTCTCTAAACATTCTTCTTGACCAATAACACCATGACACAGTAAAAACATATTCTTGCCCTCTTTTTTTAAAAAAGATTTTTATTTATTTATTTATTTATTTATTTATTTATTTGACAGAGAGAGATCACAAATAGGCAGAGAGACTGGAAGAGAGAGAGGGGAAGCAGGCTCCCTGCTGAGCAGAGAGCCCGATGAGGGACTCGATCCCAGGACCCTGAGATCATGACCTGAACTGAAGGCAGAGGCTTAACCCACTGACCACCCAGGCGCCCCTATTCTTGAAAATGTCCCCAGTGTGCATTGAGACTACTGGCCCTTTAGAGATTCTGACTTGGTCCATCAAGAGAAAGGCTCAGGACTCTGCATTTTCTTTTTTTTTTTTTTCTTTTTTGGAATCCAAGAATAAAACCCTTTAAGGACTCTGCATTTTCAGCTGAATCAGAGTGAGTCTGTTGTGGAGAGTCTTCACACCACACTTTTAAGAAACGGCACTGCACTAATGAAACATCCCAGCCTCCCCTCAGTTATTAATACCTCCTTTTAGCAAGTCTGTGTTGTGAACTTAGTTATTTTAAACTTGTTTATTCAGAGCTCATGATGGAATTAAATACAAAATCAATCTTGCCGAGTATTTGATACTGTTGCAGTATTACCTACTGAATCAGTTCAGATTTACACTGAATAGTTTCTTAGATATTGATCCCAAACATTGTATTTCTTATATATGGTTACCAGACCAACCACACATGTATAGATAACTACATTGCTTTCAGGTTCCTGCATGCTTCATATATTAAAATTTTAACTGAGCAAAATGAAAAAATAAAATGACCCAAATTTTAAAAGTAAATGACTAAGATTAGGAAACAAAATGTATCCACTCTGAACTTCTGGGGAAAAAAAAAAAGACATGTTTTTTTAATTTTAATCTTTAAAATTTTAAAACTTTAATTTTTATGAAGTTTGCAAGGGAATAACAACAATAAAAATATAGAAATATCCAAGTTGACATTTCTTTTTTTTAATTTGAAGATCTAACAGGCTTTATTAAATGATTCATGAATCCAACAGCACCCTATCTACCAGGTGAAGAAGCAGTCCTCTGACTCAGCCTTTTAAAGGCACCAAAGTGCTACTACTTTCTTGATGTAACAACAACAACAAAAAAAAGTGAGGACTTGTGTTTCCTAGAAATATCCCTTATAAAAATCTTACCAAACCCAGCATGACAGGTGAGTACAGGATTAAGGACTACGAAAACCAAGTTTTCTGGTTCTGCCTGTACATCGCATCATAATCTCTTTCATCTTGGTTTCCTAATACATAAAATAAAAGTTTGGAACTGTGCCTGAGATCCCTTGTGTTTAAAAAAAAAATTATGGTTCTATACAGAATCAGATGTTTGTGGTAAATTCCTCTAAGTTTGTACCTCTAAGGAGTCTAAAACCTTAATTACTGCTTATAATGTGTTAATAAGGATTCAATCTGCTTAATGAAGAAAAACAATTAGCTTCCAGGGTACAGGAAATTCTGCATTCTTCATCTAGCTCCACTATTATTTATCACTTTTTTGTACTTTTCTCCTACCTCTCGCCGGCACGTTCCTGTGCTCTTACCATCATCATTGCACTCATTCCATGGTCATTATGATGATGTATATATGCTTCTTTTTTCCATCAACCAATAAGCTTCTTGAGGCTAAGGGGCGAATCCCATTCACATTTTATAGCCCAAACAGCACCCAGCATGGTGCCTTTCACAACACGGGTATACTACAGACATAGGCTTCACACACCAAAAAACCCTGTGATCATATCACCTGCAACTTAACTCCTTTATTTCATTTCTCCTAGAATTTCCCATGAGCCTTAGCATTAGAACTCAGACAGTCAGCGTCTGCTTGCCCAGTACCCCTTCCAAGCTACCATGGTGCCCATGGTTTGCATGGTACTCATGAGCAATATATATCACTCTTCAACGATGAAGATAGCCAGGACAGCATCACCATTCTCCTCTAAATAGTTAGGCTGAAGATGCCACCTGAATTCAGGCGCTAAACACTTTATTTTTTATGTATGTATGTATGTATTTATTTGACAGACAGAGATCACAAGTGGGCAGAGAGGCAGGCAGAGAGAGAGGAGGAAGCAGGCTCCCCGCTGAGCAGAGAGCCCGATGCGGGACTCGATCCCAGGACTCTGGGATCACGACCCAAGCCGAAGGCAGAGGCTTTAACCCACTGAGCCACCCAGGCACCCCATGGCGCTAAACACTTTAAAAGGTCATTTTAGGAAGTGGCAAAACATAGAGGATTGAGGGCTATATTTTTGTTTAATCTTCTTAATCTTCTGCTGTTCTTTAGCTTCAAATTAGGCCAAAGCTAACACTCATCCCGCTGCTGCTGACCTCAGATAACACCCCTTCCCACAGCTCAGCAGGGCAGCTTAATTACCTCTGAGATCAAATTAAAGCTACTAATCATGGCGTTAATGTCCACCACCAATTGCGCCTTGGATACCTGCCAGCCTAACACACAGGCTCTCTGAGCTCTTCTACCGCTGAGTTAATCTGTAGATTTCACCCTGGCGCAATTCTGAAATAATGTAGGATCTCCCCCATTGACTTTTCTCCACCTCAAATTCAGTGTAAGACTCGCCTCATCAAGAAAGCCTTTCTAGGGGCACCTGGGTGGCTCAGTGGGTTAAGCCTCTGCCTTCAGCTCAGGTCATGATCTCAGGGTCCTGGGATCAAGCCCCCAGTCGGGCTCTCTGCTCAGCGGGGAGCCTGCTTCCCCCACCCCCAGCCTGCTGCTCTGCTTGCTTGTGATCTCTCTCTCCCTCTGTCAAAGAAATAAAATCTTAAAAAAAAAAAAAGTCATATTTAAAAAAAAAAAAGAAAAGAAAGCCTTTCTAGTATCTTCAATTTGAACCCATTCCCTTTAACCATTCTTATACCTCAATATCAGCACCCCTAGAATTTAGCATATACAATAAAAAATTCAAAGAACACTTTATAAAGCATTTACATTATCTCATTTAATTTTCATAACAAGCCCTTGAGCTATGCAGCGCACATGTATCTTTCATGTTACACATTAGGAAACTGCGTCTTAAGGATCAATAAGGGGTAAACCTCGGATGCAAGCTCAAGCCTTCTGACCGTAGACCCATCTCTTGACTGATAAATAGATAGATACACACACTTGTGTGTATGTTTATGTGTATACTCATATGTATGTGCATATATATAACTATGGGTTTTTATAGAATAAATATATATTACATATACAATATTATAGTTTTTCTTTTTTTTAAAGATTTTATTCATTTATTTGAGAGAGAGAGAATGAAAGAGAGAGAAAGCACATGAGGGTGGAGGGTCAGAGGGAGAAGCAGACTCCCCACTGAGCAGGGAAACCAATGTGGAACTCCATCCTGGAACTCCAGGATTATGACCTGAGCCAAAGGCAGTCACTTAACCAACTGAGCCACCCATGTGCCCCAGAACCTAGTTATGTTTTGTTTCATTTATTTATTGTCTTC